TTCATTCATCTTGAGTTCCTAGCGGGCGATGACGGATAGCGCCGCGGCTTTGATCCTGGTCATGCAACAGCGTCGTGGTGGATGGTCCCAGTCATTGGCGTAGGCGACAGAGATCGGTCCAGAATAATGTAGGGAAATAATATTTCCATAATTTGCTCGTCCCTAGGTATGCCGCGCCTTGCCAGTAGGGCCATAATGGGGGAATGGCTCGGAGACCCGAGCCATAAGAATGGTGAAATCGCAACACACGGAAGATAATGGGAGACTTCAAATCCCGCCCGCTTCTTTTGCACCATGCTTTGAGGCGATTAACATTTAATTAATTAAAAGAGATTTTTTGGTTTTCGATGATTTTTTCATCACGTCATTTATCACGGATAAAAATCGCCATAAATCATCGCACGCTTACCACAGCTCATACTAGTCAACAACTACTCTCAGACAACCTTTACTACTCTCAGACAAGCTTTCAGAGCGCGTTATTGTTTTCTCCAATTATCACGAATAATATCACGAGTTATCCTGATTTCAAAAGAGCTACAACTCAGGGTCCCGGTCACTCACAACACCTTGTATGTGTTGTATCAATTTTCATACATTCACGAGCCTAATTTCCAAATTTTAGACGAAAAGTGGAATATTGTGGCTTCTAGAAACTTTTCGACCACGATCGTTGGAGCGGGCCGTCTCTTTACACTTGTGAGAATTGATGGGCACAATTTTCAACAGAGCTGCAAAAATTGTTGAGAGCTCTCGCCGCGAGGCCTAGAAGCGAGCTGCGTGCAAAGTGACGAGAAATAACTCAAAGACTTCGCATACGTAGTGCTACGCCTGAATGCGTGGGAGTTGGCACCAGCACTTGGTCGTTGGGAGTGAGCTGCGCACGGAGAGATCCATCCCGTGGTGGACCCCACTCGCCGAGGGATAGCTCGCGCGAGGTCGTACACAGGCTCCTGTACTCGGACCACCCGACAAAGGAGTGCAAGCCGTCGGGTGTGTTTCACATGGCTCTCAACAATTCACAGAATATTTCATTGATCATGGCATGTCGTCCCGTCGCTAGAGAAAGCGTTACATCGATGAAACCGTTGGATGCAAATGTCGATATCTAGAAACGATTGTTGGGAAGAGATGCTCTCAGGTGTGCACCATGTGATGGGCCATGAACTGAAGGTCGAGGCTTACTGAAAGACCTACCACCATTGACGTACTATGTAGAGCTTGGAGCAGTATGTGACTCAAGGCCTAGCTGGATTACCTAAGCTCACGGCTGAAGCCCCGACCAAGATCGCGTATCACACGTGTTCTAGCTACCACAGCAAATGCTCCAGTCTTTTGCGCCAAGTGCTATCGCACGTGGGCCAGTACTCACCCAAGCACTGCAAGCTCATCTCTGATGTACAATAAACCAGCTACTTGTCAAAAACCTTGAGACCACATCGACATAGATTTGGGACGTTGCGTCGATCAACGTGCTAATGCTGCTCAAAGTATCTCAAATTTCGATCCAAGAAAAATCTCAAGCTGCCGAAGATTTTATTCAAGCCAACCACTTTCGCCAGGTCGTTTGAATTGGATAGTTCTCGCTTCATGCTACAATGTGACAAATGTAGGCGTGCGAGTCGGAGCAAGTCGCGCAGCTCAAAACTCTCACAGCGACAGTCGATTTGCTGAAGCACGAGCTCCGCCAGGCCAAAGCCGAGGTACAATATTCATTGGACTTTGCAAACATCAAGCTCAGAGCTGGTAGCTGCAAACGGTACAGCGAAAATTACTGCGGTCGCGCTTCGAGAAGGAGCGCCTCGAAAAAATTCTCGATCGAGTTACCCGCGGCGCCGGCGGGGACGGAGACGACGATGACGACGCCCCTATCGACGCAGCCAATGACGAAGATGACGAAGACAATTTTCTTTTGCTCATGCACAACGTTGATGTAGGTCTCATAACTCGGCAAATCGACTTACGCTACCCTAGAAATACCAGCAAGTGTCGTCACTCGAGAACACGGTGGAAGATCTCGACAAGCTTTTCGCTGCTGTGGATGTAGAAAACCACAACCAGCTCTTGGCACTGGCTGAGCTCGACAGATACATCGACTCGAGCATGGTTTCGATCCTCTGGAAGCACCAGCCCAAGCAAAATCAAACGGGCTTTGTTGCAAAAATGGTACACCGCTTCGCGCCCGAGTGCCATTACTTCATTGAATCATTTGCAGTTTTCAGTCGAGTCGCAAGCCACACAGACAGACGATCCAGCAAAGCCAACGGACGCGGAGACGTTGGGTCTCGATGGTACGCTCGCATATGCATGGCTACATAAATTATCAACCCATTCACTAGACGAAGTGTTGCAGACGCCTCGGACGCGAAAAAAGTTACTGGTCATTCCGACGTGCATTCGCACGCTACTGGACGCGGTGCCCCGCGTGCCCAAGATGCTGCTCAAAAAGTCGCTCGTGCACACGATTTGGCTACTGTAGACATCTAGTTTCTGGATATGCAGAAAAAATTATGTCTTTTCGTAGACTCGTGCGCAAGCTCGACGGCGAGCGGGCCAAACCGTCGGGGTCTCTCCCTGTCTTTTTGCGCGACTATTTCATGCAAAAGTTTGGCCTCAAGTCGCTCGCCGACTACCACATGGTCGAGCTCGTCAAGAGCTGCCTCTTGTACCGACGCAAGCTCGAGAACGCCGCGAGCTTGTACGAGTCGGACCCAAGCGGCTGCAACTTGGACTGGGATGACTGCCGCATCCTGCTCTTCGGTCGATGCATTGACGCTTTTCCGGACGAGGCGCTCTCGCACATTGAGTCCGAAGGTGTCTCGATCTTGCTCGACTTTCTTGGGGACCTTCTTGAGCTCGACCCAGCGTTTCCATCGCTGCAAGCCGTGCAAGTACGCACCAGCGACTCTAGGTTTAGGGTCGGTTTTGACGCAGTGGTTAGGACCTCGACGGGGCGGTCGTCGTGAGCCGCGACGTCGCGATCATCGTGTGGCGCTGCCATTTTGCCTACATGGGCCCCGATGCAGAGACCAAGGCGTTGTATGCGCTCGGCGAGCACGACTTCGTCCAGCCGCACGTGCTCAACATGGATTGGCTACTCGCCTATGCGCTCTTTACGTGGCACATGTTTGAGGTTGCCGAAGAGGCCGCGATCCGATCAGCGTTTCGCACCGTCCTTCTGCACACGAGTGGCCCCCATTCGACCAACTTGCTCTTGCAAATGGATGGGTTGCGTACATATTTTCCCAACTCGACTCATATTAGTTCTGCGTAGGTTTGTCGCGGCCGTCAACAGCGTTTGGCCAGAGTGCGCTGAATCGACGGCACAGACGCTGTACATGGACATGATGGCAACGAAGCGCGAGAGCTTTCGCCTCGCGTCCGAGCGCCGCCGCCGCGACAAGCAGCGCGGCGCGCCGTCATCCGGCCACGTCCCTGCGACGACGGTCCTCGGCATTGACGGCGTCTTTGAAGAAGAGTTTGTCGCTGTCTTGGCCAAGCTCCGGCGGTATGCAGCATTTTCAACGATTCCCATTCCATTGTATCCATACAGGAATCAGCGCAAACGCTGGGGGATTCGCACGCGCGGCGTACCTCTCCACGCGATGCACAAGAAGTCGTGGCTGGGCGGCTATGGGCATCCTGTGAGTGCGACTGGAGCCGTGGACCCGCACTCGCTCAAGCCTGGCATCTCGATTTAACTTGCATCTCTACTCGATATATGCCTATATGTTGATAATTCATGTACAATTAGTCGACTTTTGTTCCGCTGGTGCTCAGCAGGGCAAAAATTAATGCGTACTAGTAGTCTGTTATGCAAAAGTCCAGCGACTACCCAACAGTGGCCTTCTTCTTCTTGAGCTCCTTTCGCACTCGCGTTGGCTGCGTGTCCATGAACGGCTCGAGCGCAATCGTCGCCTTGTAAAGGTGACCGACCAGTTCGATGTCGACCGAGTGGCCGGGCACGGCGAGCTCTGTGGGCACATAGGCAAAGGCAATGCTCTTGCCGACGATGTGGCCGAAGCCGCCGCATGTCGTGTTACCCACGACGCGTCCGTTGCTCCACACCGCCTCGTTGCCCGCCGCATCGATATGTCCTACCATTTACAGAGGTTAGTCGCAGAGAAACACTCGTCAAACATCGTACGGTGGCCCGGCTTGGGCGGGTCGTTGTGCACGTCCAGCATCACCAGCGTGCGCGCGGGTCCATCCTTTGCAATCTACAGTGCACGGAATCATCAGCATGAGCTTTCTCGTGTAAAAAGCCACCTGCTGCACTGCTGCTTGGCCAATGTACGGCGTCTTCTTGTTGACCTTGACGAAGAAGCCGAGCCCGGCCTCGAGCGGGTTGGTGTCTTTGTTCATATCGAGGCCCCACACACGAAAGCCCTTCTCCAGCCGCATCGCGTTCACGGCCCACGTACCGACGTCCCCGACGCGCAGACCGAGCTTGTCACCGGCCGCCCAGAGCGCCTTGTACACGGTGGCAACCTCGTTGAGCGGCACGTGAAGCTCGAAGCTACGCAGTCAGCCATGAGCGACAATAAAAAAGTGGTAGGTACCCGAGCTCGCCCGTGAAGCTTAGACGCATGACCCGTGTCGCGACATCCGCGACGTCCATGGTCGCAAAGTGCATAAACGGAAACGCGGCCGCCGAGACGTCCGAGCGCGTGAGGTGCTGCAAGAGGATCTCGGCGTCCGGCCCCGCGACGCCCAAGACACCCACGTCATCGGATGTGTTGCGCACACTCACGTCCTCACTGCTGTATTGCCATTCGTCCAAGTACGATTCCATCCATCTATCAACACGATATAGCCATGTCAAGATACTGCACAAGCGGCCCTACCGGAGGTCGTGGAGCTCCGAGCCCGAGCCCGTGACGACGTAAAAATGATCGTCCGCGATGGCCGAAATGGTAAGCTCGGCCATGACCTTGGCCTTGGGCGTCAACATGTGGCAGACACGGACCTTGCCCGTCTACAAGACAACATGAGGGGACGAGTAGAGCCTCGCGTCCGACCTCTGGGATTGAGTTGGCGCAGAGCGACTCGAGAAAGTGGCGAGCGCGCGGCCCCGACACCTCATACGTGCTGAACGCACTCAAGTCGGTGATGCCGACGTGCTCCATGACGACGTGGCATTCGCGCTTCACGGCGGCAAACGCGTTGGTGCGGTAGAACGACGCTTCGTGGCCTGTACTCGCAACGTCAAATGACCAAGTGCACGCTCAACGTCACCGCACCTTGCTCGTCGGGCGTCGCTGCAAACCAGTGGGGGACCTCCCAGCCCGCGTGCGCACCAAACTGCGCGCCCTTCTGTCGCAGTAGCACGTACAAGGCCGTCGGACGCATGTTGCGGCTGCGCTTCTTGTCAAGGTACGGGTGCGTGATCAAATTGTTGTCGCCGTAACTTTCTCGAGCCTTCTCTGCGACGTACGCTGGCGTCGTCCACGTACCGTAGCTAGCACCACCACTGAGAGATCCATTGCATCACAAAATACGAACCGGCACGGGTCAATCTCGGTGAGGTCGTAGGGCGGCTCGCCGTCGAGGATCCAGCGAGCAACGTAATCGCCGCAGCCACCGCCATGCGCAATGCCGTACGACATGCCGTTGGCAACAAAGATGTTGGGCAGCCGCTTGCTGCCGTGGCGCGGCAGTGGACCCACGATCGGGAGCGCGTCCGGCGCGTAGCAGATAGGACCACAAGTCACGTTTGAATGCCTACGATAGATACACTTTGTGGACCACACAAGCAGCACGGCGCGCGTACCGGCGTCCGCGAGGCTTGGCATGCGCTCCATCGCAGCTTCGAGGTGCGGGAAGATGCGGTCGACGTCCGATGGAAAGAGCTCCTTGCCAAAGCTCGGAGGCACGCCCGTCGCCTGCCAATCGAGACGCACTTGCATCTTGGCCGCCTACAAGAAAACTTGAGCCGTTCAAGTCAAATGTATCGATGGATATTGCCTCTTCGTAGGGTCCGATGAGCATACCCGTACGCTCTTGGCGTAGGTAGTACGAGTTTTCAAGGTCGCGGATCACGGGGAGCTCCGATGGGAGCGCTTGGACGTCCGGGATTGAGTTCGTGATCACGTACTGATGCTCAATGCTTACGAGGGGCAGGTCGATACCGAGCTGTTCGATGAGCTCGCGGCCCCAAAACCCCGTGCAATTGACCACCTATCGACAAATGTCGATCATGCACTCAAGCATGTATCCGTACGGTCTTAGCGTGGAGCGTCCCGTGCTTTGTCCCAACGTCCCACGAGCCGTCCGCGCGCTCGTGCAACGACAGCGCCGGCGTGTGCTGGAGGATCGTGGCACCGTGCTGCCGAGCGCCCTTGGCCAGCGCCATAGTGACGCTACCCCACTTGCGTGTTAGTCGCAACACGCAGGACCCAGCTACCTGTAGGGATCGATGTGGCCGTCGCCCTTGGTGTGGATGCCACCAAGGATCCCGTCCATATTGAGGAGAGGATGCAGCACCGCGATTTCTTCAGGCGTAATGATCTTTTGGTAGCCGGGATGCCAGTTTTGGCGCGACTGCTGGTACCTGCAAAGGCGCATGAGATATAATATGCATGTGATAGCACGTACTTGGCTTCGTCCATGCGCTGGGGCGTGGTGCAGATGCGAATGCTCCCAGGCTCGTGGAGGCCGACGCTCTACAAGGCGTGTATCTGAATAGCTTTCGCACCATGGATTGCGACCGTACCGCGCCCGTCTCTTCGTACAGTGTTTTGTACAGGTCGAGGCTATAACGGTGGAACTTTTTCAGGTTGATGCCCGGGTTGAAGTAGGTCACGAGGCCGGCTGCATGCCACGTCGAGCCTGCCGTGAGCTCCGTCTTCTCGAGCAAGATGACGTTCTTCGCCCCGTACTTGGCCAAGTGGTACGCGATGCTCGTGCCCACGACGCCTCCGCCCACGACGACCACCTACATACCAAGCTCGAGCCATGGCCTTTCGCACTGAGATGGCGTACATCCGACTCGGTGTCCACGACGGGCGAGGAAGCGACGCTAGCAGCATACGCATGAGGCCATGGACATTGGCATGGCGTCTACCTCGCGAGGCTGCGCGATGGCGGCGCGAGTCGGCGCGTCTTCACAAGGCTTCGCCACATGCTTCTCGCTTGGCAAAAGATAGAATGTGGCGGCTTTGGAGGCGTCTTAATTTGCAATATTCAATTTGGAATACAAAGAACAAGATATCATGCCGCAATAATTAAAAATTGACAAGATACCAAGTCTGATGTGGTCGACTTCAACCTGAGAAGCTCGCGCACGCGATCGGCAGGTACGCTAAATGAGGTTTAACGTCGCGATCGAGTTTAACGATACGAAGTCCCTAGCTCGAGCTCAAGATGGTCTATTGATACCAGAGGGAGCGTGTACCATCCATCCCTTGGCGGTGAGTGCGTGGAGACCTCGCGTCTTGCACAATGGGGCCGACCTGGTCTACTATTTCATTGGCTGAATAGATGCTTTTTGGATCAATCCGTGTCGATGCATGGCGCGCTTTTTGATGGTGCAGCTACCAAGCCATGCTACCAAGACCAGCTTCTAAGCTTACATGTACTATATCCAGCTGCCGCATCGAAAGCTCCGAACCTAGTAGAAATGTGACTCCCGTCACATTTCTCGTGTGGGCTCCACTCCCAAACATCCACAAAGCATTCGGATTCGAGGCTTACAAATACATGTCGGTGGTTCGAGCAATCGCTTGGGAGAGCTTGGCATCGAGGCGCTGGGCCTCATCGGCGCGAGGTTGCGCAATCTACACGAGATGTGCTCTTCATATGCAAGACAAGTGTGGTCACATACGTCGGCAGGTAGCTCGTACACAAACGTGTCGCCGGCCGAGTCGCCGACAATGATACGCTTCCCATCCGCGGTCCAGCGCACCTTGTTGAGCGCGCGGTCGCTGACCTTGATGTCTGCGACGGGGATCTACGAGGCTCGCCGTTAGCTTTAGAGCTACCACTTACGAAAGACCTCGGTGTCGTTGCTGATGTTCCAGATCGAAATCTTGCCCGAGCCGTCGGCCGTGCAAAAGAGACCCGGGTGCACCGGCGACCACCGAATGTCATAGACGTAGTCGTTGGCGGGCTCGAACGACACGATTGGCTTGTAGTCGCTCTAACCAAAAAGCCGATGAGCAAACCAACGAGAAAGAATGATTTTTGCTCGCACCTTTTGGCTCCAGAGGCGGCAACTCCAGTCCACTGACGACGTGAGAAGCAACACGTCTTGGTGGTGTGGCAAGAGCGGGTTGTAGTGCATCGACGTCATCGGGCCGTAATGAGGCTTGTCCTTGGAGAGCGAATGGACGAGCACCTCGCGCGCTTTCACGTGGTTTTGGTTCTTCGAGTGATCGTCGAGCTGCGCACTCAGGAGCTCACCCGATTCTAGTAAACCCATGCCTTTTTCATGGACGAGATCAAGTATTGTTGGGTACCTGTCCCGATCGTAAACGTGTTGGCGGCACTGCCTTCGCCCTTTTGGAAGGCAAGCGCGGTCACGGGCACTTGCATCTTGCGCACGGGGGCGCTGGCCGCAGCAACCGGCGCCGAGACGCGCAGATCGAGCACGTCCACGGGCGCGTGGAGTTGATTGACGATCCAGACGCACATGCGGCCGTCCGTACTCGCCGAGACCAAGCTACATATTAATATTCAAGTCCATTGGAAGGGGCGGCGAGATATGGTAGTACCTAAAAGCAGACTTGGAGCCGACGACGCTCATCGAGTAAATAGGGTGCGTGTGGCCATGCGTCGACAGCGTCGTCTTTTGCACCGGCGTGTTCTTGGCCCGCGTATCCCACAAGACGACCTACGCCAACAGTCGACGCTTTGTAGAATCGTTGCAGCGGCGTACTTGGCCCGAGTACGTGCCGCCCATGAGCACATGACGGTCGAACGGATTGAAGCACGCGCTCATGACCTATTTCGTCTCAGCTCCACATACCACGTGCAGAGGACACACCTGCGAGTTGCACGTAAACTTGTACTCGGGATGCGTGGGCATGTTGCTGGACCAGAGCAAGACGACGCCTTCGGCCTCGGCCATGGCGTCCTGGACGTTCCACTCGACGGGCGACGTGTCCATGTCGTCTTCCAAGTACCCGCGCGCGTTGTACGCGACGAGACAGAGCTCCTAGACCTCGCGTGTGAGGCATCCAACACACAAATCGTCTTGTACGTTGTAGAAGGGCGAGATATCAATGTCTGTGACAGCGCGGCCCTTGGTCCACTTGGTGTCGCGGTACACGAAGAGCTGCTTGCACTTGGACGCCGTCATCGGGTGGTCGACGTCGACCATCGACACATCGTCGTCCTGGCTGTAGTCGCGCATGACGTCAAACGCGCCGGCTTGCAACAGCGCGCGCTCCATGATGTTGCCCGATTTGGTCAAGAACGACTCCATCTCTGCACCGAGCTGAGAAAAGGTCATGCAAAAGAACGCGACGTACCCGTGGAGCCCAGGATTTGATCGCGCTCGTCCTTGGGCGGCATCGCCGGTTTCACGGGCGCAGCAGGCTCGGGCACGAGCTTGATCTTGCGCGGCGATGGCACGGGTGGCGGCTGGTTCGGGTTCGAGGCGTCGGGAATCTCGATCGTTGGCGTCGACGACATCTACATGCGCTCGACAATGAGGGCTCGAGCAGTAGCCATACCGAGCCGTACGGGCTCGTCGGGAAAGTCCATCGGGTCCATCCACGTGGCCTTGTCGTACATCTCGACCTGGACCGGGAGGATGTCGATCTGGCCGAGCTGCGTGACCTACGCGCAGAGTTGCAGCCTGTGGAGGCAAAAAGATATGGCGTACGCTCGAGATCTTGGCCATCTTCTCCGCAAAGGTGAGCGATGGCGCCGTGGCAGCGGCGACAGCTTGCGACGTCTCTTCCATGACCTTTTGCTTCTCTTCCTCAAGGATGTGCTGGAGGAACTCCTGGAAGGGCGGCGCGACGGTGGCCGGCTGCTCGACGGCGACGTCCCTACGTCGCTGCGTGAGGCGCAGGCCCATGGCTACCGTAGGGAGGGGTACTTGACATGCGCCTTGCGCCGGCGGATCTCCTCGAGCTTGCGCTTCTTGGCCTCGAGCTCGGCCGCGTGCTTGGCGCGGGTAGCTTCTCGGCTCTCCATCTTGTGATCGCAAATTCCCCCAGACAGGATACGTCGACCGTCGGCGTTTTAAATACCAAACTCTGCACTTTTTAGTTGATATTTGTATTCGGAATAAATTATTAGTATATTATAGCCCACACGTGCGAGGATAAACCCACCCAACACGCCAGCACGCAAGCCACCACCCTACGTTGATGCCAAGGTCAGCGAGGACGACCACAGAAAGAGGCCGCGACAGAGCGTTCAGTGTGATTAGTCGTAGGCTAAACCCTCGCGAAGAGCGCTCGATCCGCCCTTGCTGCGATCTGAGAGCAGGAGCATCGTCCAAGTGCAAAGTGACGTGCGTTTAGTCCAACTCTATGTACGACCAGCACCTTTCACCATACAAGATCTTGACACACGATCTTGACACGCGATCTTGACACACAATCTTGACGGCACCGCCGGTCGGATCGCGCCAAAAATTGTTTGTTGACACTGCCTCGAGAGCTCTCTGTACAGAAAGCAGGAAGTACCATGACGCCGGAGCAGTACGCAGGGACACGTCAATCGTAAAGCAACAATGGTGTGCGGACCTCAAAGCTCGGAAAAGACGATCCAGCGTGTGGAAGCTTCTCGAGTGCGCCATGAACTTGGTGACCGCTCGGGCGCTTGATGACGCATAGTGTGTCGTGTTGCTGTTCGTTGATTAGCGTGTCAACTGGTACAGGGGATGTGACGACGAACAAAGTTACTGCGAGACGCGTGCAAGGAGGACCTTCGAGACCGCCCCATGCATATCACCGCTGCCGATGCCAACACAGACAGAGCTTGGACGAAGCTGTTGATGTAACCAGACGACAAGGATTCAGAACGCACATATCGAAGTCTGAAAAGCTGCCGGACATCATTTGACGCAAACACAGACAGCCCCATGCGAAGAATTGGCATCTCCCAGCTCTGTCTCGAATGAACGAACACGAGATCCAGCGAATATGATATCCATCCAACTTGCCAACTTGCGTCCCGTCGGCGGAATTTCTGCACATTTTTCAAAAGGCTACTTTTTGCTGCAAGTTTATGCTCCCGCGTCGAGACGCATATCTTATCGTATCCTAAAGCAGCGAAAGCACGCTTGCACAAGGAACGATGGGCCCTTTGGCGGCTAGGACCGCCATCGTGATCACTGGCAAAGGTCGCAAATGAGATGAAACGGCCATGTCAATGACATGGCGCCGGTATGTATATACACTGTTCCAATCCATGCACTGTATTTTGATCGGGTACTCAATCCAACGGTAGACAAGCGTGGACGGGCTCCGTGGAGGATTCCGGTGGCAAAGATACTGCGCTCGACCGACCAGTAGCTTGCCTATTCTTCTTTGCTCCCTTCAAGAAGACCGAGCTTCAAGTTGGCGCCACTACGGCAACGACTGACTCACCACCACCACCACCGTGGATGCATCCGCGTCAAGTTGCTTGTTCATAATACATGGTCGATTCATTCATTACATTTACGGGCTCAATCGATGATACGTGGGTTAAATAAAGGCGTGGACGAGACCTCATGCGAACACGGAGAGACATATGGAGATGTCGTCGGGCTTTTTGTGTGTGAGGCTCGCCATGCGCTGGACTTGGGCGAGCGCGTAGTGGTGCGTGTACGCCTCAGCGGGGCAGGCTGCAATGCTCCGGTCAAACGTTGCCGGTGTGTCCTTGAGCGCCGCCTTGAGCGTCGCCGCGATCTTCTTTTCCGCGCCCCCGCCGCTGCGGCCGACACGAGCGACGTACTCCTTGGCGGCCGCGACGCTGAACGGGTACTCTCGCCAGTTCTGGCCGTCGTTGGCCAGCGCTGCGTGCGCGATGTTCGAGCACACGGACGACGGCAGCTCGGCGCTCGCGTGCAGCATCTTGGACTTGGCCGAGAGCCGCGGCGGATGCGACGACGCGACCAGCGCGCAGAGGTCGGCTTTGAACACGTTGTCGCCGACGCCGTCTGAGAAGGTGACGAGGCGATCGCCCGATTGAAGGCTGAGCGTCTGCACCATGAAGCGCGAGACCGACTTGGCGTTGACGACCGCCGGCGCGTTGAACTCTTTCAGGACGGCAAAGGTCTCGTAGATAACTCGCCCTTTCCGGACCACAATCGCCTTCGAGTCGCCGACGCAGAACGTGTAGAGGCAACGCGCGCGACGGTCAACGTAGCACACGACCAGCGTCGACGCCATCGTTGGCGCGAACGTGAGCTGGCTCTGCGCGTGCGATATCGCCGACAGCACGCGGTCTTGGAAGCCCGTGGTCGAGCCTGCGTTCGGGCACTGCACCAAGAAGGCTTCGTACTGCACCAGCGCCTTCTCGACGCAGTCGACCAGTGTGCGTGCCAAGAGCGCGGACGGGCTCTCGCGGCTCGGCCGGCCAGTGTCCTCGGACCCGCTGGCCGACACGCCGTCCGCGACAATGTGGTAGTAGCTGCCGACAGCCATGGCGTCTTCGCCGTGGTAGACGTAGCTGGCGCTACCGTACGAGACGTCCAGCGACGCCTTGCGGCCAAAGAACCGGTGCAAGAGCGGCTTGCGGCGCTTGAGCGTGGTCATGTTGGCGCCGTGCTCGACGACGGGCGAGTCGTCCGTGACGACGGTCGACGTCGGCGTCGTCGGGAGCCACTCGTCTTCGTCGTCCGTGATCGTGTCACTGCCATGGAGGACGAGGCCCTTGGCGCGGAGCATCAGCGGGGATGGCATGCGGCCGGCCGAATATTTTTGATTGTGAAAAGAGCATTTCGTGCACCCAGAAGCAACGCTGTGCGACGTTTGATTGGCCAAAAGCCGTCCCATACACGGTTCAAGTTTCAACGAACGGGCATTTCACAGCCCTGTCCCGAGTGCCATGGACCAATAACTACAGTAGACGACGATCGTTCCACCGAACGAATCATCGAGCGTCTGGTCGTTCCCCCTTGCTACTTGCTACTTGAGCCTGCTATATACCTAGCAATGGACTGGCCATCAACAAACGTACTGTCCCGCGCTGTCCATGGGTACGGGTTTCGATCCCATGTGCGAGACAAGAATCGGTGGCCAGTCGTTCAGCCAGGTAATGTGGAAAGCAGCGTCCACCCACTTCTCCTACAGGACCAGCAAGGCCATCATCGGTGGCAAGTGCACGAACGCGTTCGCTCGTGTTGTCGGGCCTGCTTCAATGATACTTGAGGCACTATTGGTAAAATGGCGGTGAAATTGAGAATGTTTTGGGAAGACGGTGCCCGTGCACGCTGAAGCAGCAACGGACCAAGCACGGAATTGAACTCAGAACCCAGCGATGCTTGGGCAGCCGCTGAGATTATTATTGTGCGATCTCCGTAGCCAGCTTCCTCCATGCAGCCAGACAGGCGGCGCGTTCGGCAAAAGCATTCTGACCGTAGAAGCCGGGAGCAGTAGACACGCAGTAATGCATCGACGCACGCCATCTGGCGCCGCCCCATCACTCGCGTCCATCATCACCCCACCACGAGGGAAAATCACACACAGTTTATTGCTGGTCGCCGTCATCAAAAAAGAAACCTAGAGGTCCGACATGTCGTCGGGGCGTTCGCTCGGGTGGATGAGGCCGGGCACGGCGAGGCGCGACGCGCGCTCCATCTCGAGCTGCTGCTGCGTCATCGCGAGGCTCTCTTCCAAGAAAAGGTCGGCGTTGTCTTCGCCCGCAAACTCCTTGACGTTGACGAGGAAGTCGCGCAGGTGCTTCTTAAAGTGCGCGAGGTCCTTCCCGAGGTCAAAGCAGCCGACGACAAAGAGCCGCACTTGGTTCCTACAACTCGTCTGAGTGCACGATGCAAGCAAACGAGGGCACGTACGACGACATGTTGGGGAACGACGTGCCAATCATGTTGGCCACATACTCCTTGAGGAAGGCTGCGTTCGTCTGGTTCGGGCCCATTTGCGGCGGGTTCGGGAGCGACTCCCAGAGCGGGATCGCCACCTGGTTGGACTCGACGATCGTAAACATGTGGCGCAAGATCGCCGCGTGCATCTTGAAGCCAAACTTGTGCAGGCGGTCCGTGAGCACGACAAGGATGTCCTGGAGCAGCGAGAGGTAAAACGACCGGTAAAAGCTCGCCGCGATCACAGGGCTCTCGCGCACGTTGAGGAGGAGCGCGTACAGCGTTTCCAAGCCCTAGTCAACCAACGATAAGATATTTATATAAGAATGGACTTTGGCGTACCGTGTCTGCGACGTTGCGCTCCGTGTGCTTGAAGGCCCAGACGATCGAGTCGACGACCAGCTTTTGGTGCTCGGGCGGGATCGTAAAGAGCGCTTCAAAGCAGTAGTCGTTGACGGCCTTGAGCAGCTTGAAAAAGTTGACGCGGTGCTCGGGAAAGTCCTCAAAGTTGCGCGTAATCATCTGCAGCGTGCACTCGAACACTGCTTCGAGCATGCTCGGCGCCGACGGCGCGATCGACGCCTTGAGCTTGTTGAGGGTCATCGCGAGGAGCGTGAGCACTTCTGCCTCCTTCGCGCTCGGCACCGTCGTCTTGTAGTCCGAGAGGACCACCTCGAGGAGCGCGGGCAAAAAGTGGTGCGACAGCGTCTTCCGGCCCGTCTCGTCCGCCGACGAGTGCTCGATAAAGGCCTCAAAGAGGCGCAGGCTCTCCTTCTTGGCCGAGCGCAGAAGGCGGACCTCCGACGACTTGGTCGCGGTTTCGCCGCCCTGCTGCACCGCCATCGCAATGCGGTGCGTGTACGTGCGGTAGACGTTGAGGAGGTCCTGGAAGATCTGGCCCATCTGCGAGTTGAAGCCGTTGGGCCCAATCGCCTTGCACACGTTGCCGTTCGTGCGGATAATCTTGACAATCTCCTTGACGACCGTGCTGTCAAAGAGGATCTCGACGTTCTGCGCCGCCTGCTGCATGATGCTGGTCCACGCCTGGTTCGGGAGCTTCATGAGCTCGGCGAGGAGCGTGTCCTTGCGCGCGGGCACGTTCTCGGCGGCCAGCATCGACGCGACGGCCTCGTAAAACGTGTGCAGCTGGTGCGTCTGGAGGTCGCTCACCGTCTTGGGCAAGTCCATGAGGAGCTCCTCCACAAACGGGTACGGCTCGGCGGGCTGGAGCACGACAAACTTGCGCCGGCACTTTTGCGAAATCTTAAGAAACGTGTCGCAGGCCATGTCCTGGACGCCCGGGTGCAGCTCGTGCATAAACTCAAAGAGCTTGTTGACGACCGTCTTGAGGAACTTCCAGTGCGCGCGGAGGAAGCGCGGGTACTGGCCGACCACGTACATGATGTTGGAGGCGACAACCGCCTTGTTGTCCTTGCCGCGCTTCATCTCGCAGAGCCCGAGGAGGTCCTTGATGACCGTGACGAGGAAACGCTTCTCGTTCTCTTCGCTCATCGCGCCGGAAATGGACCCGATCGCCCAGCAGAGCGTGTTGAGGTTGTTCCACGACCAGCCGTTGCCCTCGACTTGGTCCGTGAGCTTCTCGAGCATGATGTTCTCCGTGTCGTCATAGTCGAGGTGCGTGAGGTACACGAGGCCTTCGTGCATCGTCTTGTACTGCGAAAGCGCCTCCGTGTCCTTGGTCGTCTCGCGCACAATCTCGCCGTTCTCGTCCTCGACGATGAGCACCTCGGAGGGCTTGACCATCTTGGAGATCATGACGACGCGGACGCGCGAGAGGATCGGCGCCAAGAGGCCCTTGCGCGTGATCGGCTCGTCCTCGCGCTTGGACGAGAGCGAGAGCACCGAGCTGCTATGGTGCGACTGCTGCTGCATCTGGTTTTGGTCCACCGCGTACAAGTCGCGCGTAAAGAGGTGCCAGTAGTCGAGGCAGATCTTGAAGATGTTGTCGTCGTCGACTTCGGAGATTGACACGAGGTACGAAAAGCCTACACGTTGCAGCAATCAGTTCTCACGCTTGTAAAACATCGTGGATCGCCATACCCGTGAGGAGCGCCACGTGCGCTTCGTCGTTGGCGCGGACGATCGGACGCTCAATGACCTGGATCCGGTGGCGGAAAAAGTTGGTGAAGAAGAGCGAGAGGCCTTGCACAAAGACGCTGTCGTGGTTGTAGATGCGCTCGAACGACTGGCCGACGGGCACGAGGCGCGTGAGCTCCGTGAGGACGCCAATGTACATCTGCACAAAGACCGCGTCGTACGACGGCGGCACGTCGCTGAGGTTGGCAATCTCGCTCAAGCACGCAATCGTGTCGTTGCGGAAGGCCGGCGTCCCGAGAAACTTCTTGACGAGCGTCTCGATGAGCGACGTCTCAAACACAAAGCCGAGCGGGATCCACGAGAGGAACCGGAGCAGCGTCTGGAGCGTGATCGTGAGCAGCGGGATGTGCGTCGACTTGTCCAGGACAAACTCGCAGAGCTTGAAGATCTGGATAAACTCGTGGTTGAGGCTCTCCTTGAGACCCTTGGTCTTCTTCTCCGTCATCTGGTCCTTGGAAAAGTCGAAAATCTCTTCGCTGAGGAGCTTGAGGATGAGCATGTTGTTCTCGCAAAGCACTTCCGACGTCTGGCTCGACGTGCAAATGTCCGTGATGAACGACGGCCAGTTCTGCGGCCACTCGTGCTTGAGCACCTATCGCCATCGGCGCATGAGCGTTCGGTTGATATAAAAGAAAGGACAGGTACCTGGACGAGCACGAGGTTCATCTTGTTGATGAAGAGGCGTTCCTTGCGCAGCGTGGCCTCGTCCGCCGACATCTACATCCCATGGTGAGGGTCGTTTCGCCAGGATGCCACGCAGTACCGTGAGGATCTTGCCGACAATGTACTGCTTGATGCCTTCCCGCTGGTCCTTGGGCATGGCGAACCATCTGTACTTGATCGCATCTTCGAGCACCTATACGCGCGTGAGCGTACAGGCCAGGCGAGGCGGCCGCCGACGTGGCGCCGCTTGGCGCGCGCGGCCAGCGACCGGCGGCGATGCTCGTCGGATGGTACCTGGAGACCAAAGTACTTGGTCGGCTGGTACGTCGACGTCTCGAGGATCTGCGAGACGCGGGTCCACGAGTCCTGGTGGTTCTGGAAGGCCACCATGATCTGGTTGGCGATCGCAATGTGGGGGCTGTTGGGGTTCTGCATGCACATGACGACCTCGTCCAAGGCTGCAACGTCGAGCGGGATGCTCATGTCCATCAACTTGGCGCCGACTTGTTCCATCGCTTCCTTGCCGCTTGCGTCGGCCCCTAACTTATTCTGTGCCCGAAATTCAAAGTGGGGTAAATATAAAAAAACGACGCCGCGTCCAATTTAATACCTCAATGTCAAATGCCATTGTGGTAACGGGGCCTCACTATGGATTTTCCCCGACAACGAATAAAATGACAAATAATTAAAAAGCATATCTCAACGTATCGAGTTGGAGAGGTTTGTTTTACGAACATTCGCTTCAGCATACAGCGTTCCAGTCATAAATTGGAATGGGATCCCCAGGTGAGGCCAAAGTCTCCGATATCTTATATTCGAGATGCGATGTGGTAGGTATCAAATACGAGAGGATTCCAAGTATTGGTTCCCTAGCATTGCGGTGGGTGGTCGGGCCCTCGGCGTGTTTTGAACACTGTTTTATATGTCCATCGAAAAGAGTATAAAACGACAGGATGATGCTGCGATAATCATCATGGCTCTGCGGACCTCTGCGAAGACAGACAAGGATATTCCACCATTTTTTGCGGGATCCTCTGCAAGTAGACGTCACCTCCGAGCCTTTTACGAGTATTTGCCATACATGACCTGGACACATGTGCTGGACATCCTCAATAGCCCCGTACGGTGCGCGCTCGAAGTCTCTCGAGATGCAGCAAAAGTCCAAGGTTCCACCATGTGTGCTTGGCGAAGGCCTCGAAGAAATCCTGTAGCAGGAATGTCCTTCTGGACAAGTCGGCGGATTCTTTCAGATGTTCATGCACGGATCGCAGCGGCTTTGGTCTTGATGTTGCTGATCAATGCACTGGATTAGCTAGCTAATAGTATTCGTGGAGCAGCCTTGTGGCCATCGATGTGCGGCATGTACCATGGCGCCACAATCTCAATATGGCACGATGCCAAATCAATAATGGCTCGGCGTTTCCTACATGTTTTAAACATTACGATGTAAAAAACATGAGCCGACAAAAACGTGGCGCACCACCGTGACAGGACGTGCCGCAGAAGCAACTTCGGCGACCCTTGTGCGACGCGGTCAAGGTCGACTCGCAGAGGGTGAGACACCACCACTAGTCCGTGGTGGCCAGTTATCTAATCTCATCAAGCCTTCTCGTTGCTTTGTACCACACAACACAACGTTCGACAGGCTTTCATGCTTGCATTGCATCGATGTAACACAAGTTGACGCGTTTGTTGTGAGAGTACCTTACATACACAGCGTTACGCGATGGTGCGTCTGGAGCGTCTGGAAAAGCTGGTCGCGGTCGAGGGCCATGCCACCGAGATGTATCGTCAGTGGCCGCGTCTCACTCGTGCATGCGTCGCCGAGGCGGGTGAGAAGCAGCGCCGCCGCCCCGTCGTCAAACAAATTGGACGACAGGTCTAGATGGACGAGGCCGCGTTGCCTCAAATGTGGCAGAGCGTTGGCAATCATCCTTGCGGCGGTCGCGCTCAGTGCGCTGTTGGTCCACACAAGCGCCTGCAGACAGCGGGCGGCTGCCAGCCAGCTCAGAAGGCGTCCGAGCAGCTCCAGAGGGATCACGGTGAAATCCAAGCTCACGCGCCGAAGCCGAAAATTGGTTTGCAGCGCGCGCGTCGGTGGGCGCAGCTGACACCGGCGCAATGCAATCTCTTCCAGCTCTGGAAACGCGTGCAGTCGCAGCCATACGTCCGTGAGATCCCGCGGCGTATGACATGCTAAAACGATCTTCCGGATCGTACTCGTGTTCACGTGGCCAAGGAGCGATGCCACGTTGGTGGTTGGCATGATACCTTGCAGCTCGAGCGACGTGAGCTGCAATTGTAGCAGTCGCTTGCTCGCGCCGCGGGGTGCAGTCGAGAGCGCGCGTCCCAGCGATGATCGGCAGCTCAACGCAAGATGCTTGAGGGCCGGCGACGCGGCCAGCGCGCGTAGGACGGCGTCGTCGTCGGTTGTGCCGCAAGACAAACACAGCGTCGTCGCAGTTGGTGATCGCAGCCAATCGACCACTGGGCCGTGCGCCACCGTGTCGCTGGAGCTCGCTGTGTGGATGGCGAGACTGCGTACGCGGAGCGCGGCTGAGACGATGGCGCCAACGACGTCGGGCAAAACCATCTTCTTCGCGACGACGCGGGACAAGTTGCTACATCGCTTCAAGGCAGAGCACACTCGTGCGACGTCGATGGGATTCTTGACGGCACTGCCATGGATGTGAAGCGTCGTGACGTTCGGGGCCCATTGATCGAGGACGAGAGAGGAGTCGGCGTCATGGACGTAGAGCTCGAGGTGGACCGACTGCGGCAGCGCCAGCGGCCACCGCGCCAAGTCGAGAGGCTTCGATCCAGCGTATTGCACTTGCGTGAGCGTTGCCAAGGTGGCGAGAGCAAGATCGATGCAGTTGTCCGGGAGCGCATCGAGTGCCAGTGTGGGCCACTGGCGCTGGTCCTGGAGCAGCAGCCGCCGAAGCGCAGCCAGCGGCGCGGAGAGCGTTGGGAGCGCATCCAAGAAGGCGAGGACCTCGAGCGCCGAGGCCATGCAGCGCACGACGTCCATGACGACCGGCGTGTCGTGCCATCGGGTCGGCGACCCGCACGTCCGCTTGGCCATCGTGCCCACAATAGCATTCCGCATCAACTGGATGATATCCGGAAACCGTGGCCAGTGGCTGTAAAACAGTGGATCAAACAGTGTTTGACATGCGCTGGCAAATCCTACGCGCCCCAGCGCCAGCCCGACAAGGATGGTCGGAGTCCAAATATGGTCAGAGTCACTCTACATTGAGGCATACACACGAGAGTCCCGTGGTGACATGCAACCGAGGTCTAGGCGCTCGAGACGGCGCTTGAAGCCACTGTAAGAAGATTCAAACGCAGTGTGCTGTACCGTGGCACGGTCGGAGATGTGTGTGGTAGTAGAATGCAAATATGAAAGTGATATTGCTCGTTATGTAAGCTAGACCACTGGTAATCTGTGCATAGTATGTCGTTCTGTTGGTCTAGATCGATAGCCGCTGTGTGATTTCTAACAGCCACGGCCGCCACAGGCACGCTCCTCGTCGAGCGCCTCGACCTCGGTTGCGTACATGGCCTTGTCGTCAGCCACCGCCGCCTCCAGCGCCTGCATCTTCTTGGCTTGAGTTCTTGGCGTGCGTTCCAAAAATGAACAGAATCTTGCGGATACGCCAACCCACTCCCAGACGGCATTCTAAAAGACATGTCGCCACATACATTCATGCAGTAAACATAAAATATCCAAAAATAATAGTGACAAGAGATGTCATCCGACACACGCCAATCGCAATTCGAGCGCTACAAGAAAAGACATTTGGTACAATGTACCTTCTGTCATGTAGGCTACATTACAGTCGATCGTTACATGTATTTACATCGCGGAACTTTAACTAGGAACTCGGCAAAAATGACGTTTTCCCATCAACTGCAAGGGTTGAAGTTGGTGAAAATGGACCCAACGGAGGCACTGACGACGCAGCTCGGTTTCCATCGAGTGCACAAGGAATAATAATGGTGCATTGATAGCCTCCACCTCGCATTGCGTCCCCTAGCTTCGTGCAGAGCATCATTCAAGGGGCGTACCACCCAGCTTCAACGCGCTTGAAAATCTTGCCAGGCCAAATAGGACAAAAATGCCAGTCTGGGACAAAACGACGACCTCGAAGGGATCTTTTGACCGAGGCATTGTTGGACCTTGGTGGTGTCGTCTGCGGCCCCTACACAAACTATCTCCAGCGTCGTCCTCGGACATGTGCCAGACGCGCGCAACCGCTTGCAATTGGTGTCGACCATGTTGCGTATCTACGTAGTATTTGTCTAGAATCGGCCTTGCAGTCGAATCGATCCTTTCGGACAAAATTGGATGGTCCGAAATTTGGCCACTCGGGGGATCTTGGCGCAGAATGTAGGTCGCACGTTGAAGCTGGCACGACTAGCGACGTGCCACTGCCGACACTCCACCAACCGAAACACGAGCTATCCAAATGGTAATACTGTATATCGTAGTGTCTTAAATACGAGTCGTCGACTTTGGAGGATGAGAGAAACTTATGGTGTCTTGGTCTCTTCTTCGTCGCTGTAGTACCGGTGCGACGAGCGCATCGACGACCGGAGCTCATCAATGACGCGGTCCCGCTACGTGCATGTCCAGGCTTCTTCTCTAACAACCTCTTGCGTACCTCGTCGAGCTCCTTCTCGTACTTGGCCGCAAACTTGCGAAACTTGGTGCGCGAATGTTCCAGTTGCTAAAAACGCGTTGCATTTGCTGCAGTTGACGACGTAGCGGATACCTGGATCGTCGCATCTTGCTTGGCCAGTCGGTCTTCAAGCGCTTTGCAGCGCGCTTCGGCTTCGGCCATAAAGTTGGACGAGGCGCGCGACCCGGACGAGGGCGTGCTCCGGGGCAGCGACGGCGGCGTGCCCCGGGCCACGGACGACGCGGCGTACAAGGGCGAGACAGGGCTGGGTTGTTGCTGGTACGCTTGCAGCTGCGCCGCCATGGCCTCACGTTCTTCCCGCGCGTCTGCCAGCTGACCTTGGGTCGTCGCCATCTGGACGCGCAGCGACTGCAAGAGCGACTCGAGCTTGGCTTTTCCGAGGAAATCGATGCCACCTGCTGCGAGAGTTCGGTCTTGTCGTGCAGAGCATGGTTGAGCCTATGCCGTGCACTAAAGAATACTACGTTGCGATTCTCGTTGTACCGAGCTTGGAGGTGGCTGAGCTTTTGCTGGAGGGTCGACGTTTGCGCCACCGTCTCGAAGCGCTCGGACGCGAGCTCCGAGGCCACATTGTGTTGCGACGAGAGCGCACCTTGGAGCATGGCCTGGGACCGCGACGCTTCCTCGGCTTGTTCTAAACACAAGTTTGTGTTGCGATTCCACAATCGAGCAAATCACTGCTGCACCTGCCGACCGCTCAAGCTGCAACGAGAGCTGCTTGATCTGATCCATGAGGATTGTTCGCTCGGCGCGGAGCTCGGCGACGTGCTGCGTCGCGGCCTCCTTCTCCAACAGCACCGACTGCATCTAGACACAATATTCTATAGTCCTAAAACTAGAGCAAAAGTCATCGTACCTGCTTGCGAAGCGTGTCGTTGATCGCACTCGTCTCTTCGCGACGGTGGCTCAGCTGCTGCCGCGTCGTGTCGAGGGCGTCCATCTCGAGCACGGCCGCGCGGTACGACTGTTTGATGTCGTCGAGCTCGATCTGAAGAGCGTCCCGCTCGCGCTCCACCGTGCGCACGTGTGCGTGCAAGGCGCGATGGTCTTCTTCGACTTGGTCTAGTGAAAAAAGATGAGACGGTCTCAACTACAGGTCGTCGTACCCAGCTCAAAGTGCAGCTTGGTGCATTCGTTCGAGAGTGATTGGTTCTCGACCGTCATGTGTTGCAGATCCTGCTGCAGCGCCACGTGCTCGGCGGTGCGCAAGCTCACGTCGTCCGTCGCTTTGGACAGCGCGGTTGACGTTGCGTCGAGCTGCTTCTGGAGAAACGACACTTCGTCTTCCTTGGCGTTGAGTGCGTGTTCGAGCTTGCTCAGCTGCTGTTCGCAGTCTACAATATGGTTGATCCTATACTAGACTCGATTTCATTCGAGTGTACCTTGCACGTGAAGACGCAGTCGGGTGTACTCTTCCTGGGACGCGTGGAGTTGCTGCGTGAGCGCATCGGCCGACTCGGTCTTGAGGTCGACGCTGTTGTGGAGGCTGTCGTTCTCGGCATCGAGCGTCTGGACGACGTCTTTCAGATGCGCGATTTCAGCGTTTGCGGCTGCCACTTGGGCGCGGAGATCGTCGACAAGAGCGTGCACTTGAGTCGTCTTCTGGCCCTGGAACGATGCGTCGAGCTGCGCTTGCTTGGACTGCAGCTGTAGTGCGTCGCGCGAGTGCTCCATCTCGAGCAGCAAGTGGCGAAGCTGGGTCTTGTCTTGCTCGAGGACGAGCGCGCGCTCCGAGAGCTGCGCCGTCTCCTCGCTGAGTCGCTTGATTTGGACCTCGAGCGACGCGCAGCGCGCCGCGTGCGTCTGGCCGTCTTCCTTGGCCAGCGTCCACTGCCGCTCGAGACTCGATCGCGTCGCCTTGGCTTGCTCGAGCTGCTGCTCCAGTTGACTGCCTACAACGCAGTGATGCTGATACGTTTGTAGAGATATTTGGTGTGTACTCTTGGCCTGCGCGCGGTGGAGCTGCGCGGTGAGGTCCTGCACCTGCCGCGCCACTTGCGCGTGCAGTTGCCGCGTCGCATGATGCGATCGCTCTTCCTGCTGCAGCGTTGTCGCGCACTCGGAAAGTTCGTCCGAGACCCGCTCAAACTCGGTCTTAAAGTATAGCTTCCCTTGCTGCGCCGCCGACGCATCCGCGCCTGCGGACGCCACGGCGCGCGCTTGTTCGTCGAGCTCCAGTCGCAGCTGAGCTAGCTGGTCGTGCGCACTCCGGAGATCGTCTTGCGCCTATGTACGAACGTGCGTACATCGTGGCTCGCTATCGCATCAACGGACCTTTTCAAGCTGCTTGCGCAGCATCGACTGGGACGCTGTGAGCGTGGCGACTTGTGTCTCGGCCTGCGTCTTCTCGAGGAGCGCGGCTTGGCAGCGCTGCTGAAAGATGACGCTGTCTTGCTTGCCTTTGACTAGATGTGCAATGTCAGCACGAGAGGAGAGATGCCAATCGGAGCCAAACCTTGGTCTTGCTGGACTTGCTTGTACCACTCGAGCTGCCGGCCAGCCTCGTTGCACTGGAGCTCGAGGCGCATGGCCGTCTCTTGGTACTCGACCGCGTCGGCCTTGAGGCGCTTGAGCTGATTGGTCAATTCGGCCGTCTCGGCTTGCGACCGCAGCAGTTGCTGGTGCACAAGGTCGACCTGCGCTTCCGCCTCGCGCACACGCGCATCGTTGGCCAAAAGTGCTTCGCGACTGGACGCGAGCTGGACGTCGAGCTGCACCTTTTCTTTGCGCAGCGCATCGATTTCATCTTGCCGGTCCGAGGTCGTGCGAACTTGACGCTCGCGTGTCTCGTCGTCCACGCGCGCCTGGAGTGCGCGCTGCGTCTGCAAGAGCGACTCGAGGCGGCTTTGGAGCTCGGCGACACGGCTCTCGGCATCTTCCAGGGCGACGCACCGCCGCCGCAGCTGCGCATCCCGCTCGTCGACAGCCGCCTCCAGCGACGCGACCTTGGCCGAGAGCTCGGCCGTCGTTTCCAGGGACCGCGTCTTGTCGCTTGCTTGCAGTCCCAAGTTGGCTCGGAGAATCTCAAGTTCGCGCTCGTGTGCCTCTTTTTGAAGCGCGAGCTCCTTGCGCGCGAGCTCGAGCTCGCTCACCTTGGTCTGTAACGCCGCGAACTTGGGCCGCAGCTGCGCCAGCTCGGAGGCGCTGGCAGAGGCTTGGGCCTGGGCGTCGGACACGGCGTGCGACGATGCGACCTTGTCGTACGACGACGACGTCATGGTAGTCTCGAGCGCCTAACCAAAACGTCAACAGACGTGTCCGTCCCATGGGTGGTATGCACCGCAATCCGAGCTTTTTGCGTCGCGACTTGGTCGTTGGCGTTGGAAAGCGCGAGCTCGAGCTTCGCGAGCGCCTGCGCTTGCTCGTCGTACGACGTTGTGCACGAGGCGTGCTCGGCCTCGAGCGCTTGGAGTGCGCGCGTCGTCGTCTCGAGCTCGTGCAGGTACCGTCGGTTCTGGTCTTGCACAAGTCTAGAAAACGCCGTGTGAACGCGAGGTGCGCGAATCGTGACACGAACGCGAGCTGTTGGGTCGAGTATTTGGCGTGGTCGACGTCGTCCTTGGAGGCTTGCAACTTGCGCTCGTACTTGGCGACTTGCTCGTTCAAAATATCCACTTGGTGCAGCAGCTGCTCGTGCTCGAGCTGTTGCTCCAGGTGATACGCTTCCATGTCGTACATGGCCTTGATCTACACACATGGATCGTAGGTGCACGCAAGACGGAGGCGAGACCTCGGCAAAGTTCTTGGACTGATGACCGTCTTTCAAGAGCTTTCCGAGCCGGTCGATCTCCGCTTCGCGCGACGCGATGTGCGTTTCGAGTTGCTGCACTTGGTGATGAAGCGCCTTGTTGTCCACGCTCAAGCTCTGGAACTGCCGCTGCCTGTAAAGAGAGAGACAAGGTGGTTTGAGATGGCCTCGCTGGCGTCGAGCGTACCACGCATCGTCCGCAGAGGCGCTGGGAACAGGCGGCGCGGGTGCCTGCGTACGCTTGGCATCGGGCAACTGCCTCTTGAGCTCGATCGACGTATCGTCGCCGGGCTTGGCCTCGAAGCGCTGCAGCTGGGCGTAGAGCTTTTGCAGCTCCGTGTCCTGCAATAGCAACATGGGCAAGCGCGATTGTAGCGAGCGTATTACCTTCTTTTGCAGCTGCTGCGACTTTTGCGCGTTGAGGAACGTGAGCTCTTGGACGCGGTGGTCCATGTCCTTCTCCAGCGTGGTCATGGCCATGGCCTTGGCCTCGAGCTCTTCCTGGCACCGAATGAGCTCGAGATGGAGAGCGTTGTTCTCGCGCAGGAGGGCATGGTTCTCCTTCTGGAGCACGAGGAAGCTCTACGCCATGGCCATGAGGCGGCCGTCGCCAGCGCCGACGTCGTACCTCCTGCGTCATGCACGTCCGAAATTCGAATTGGGCGATTTGAACATTCGCATATTATTATTGTCGCTGGCAGAGTCTGCCTTGTATCATCAAGGTAGTTTAAAACAATGGAGGCGAAAACCGATATTTTATACAGAATCCGCGTCGACGATTGGCTCGTTTTCTGGAGGGAAGGACGCCCATTTGAATCCTTATCCGGCGAATCCGGTTGATCATGCTGAACGTGGCAGCGCCGCAGAGCGCTCCGGGACTGTCGGCTTGACACGCCTCGGCAATGTCCCTCTACACGGTAGCTGATAATAATCCTGCAGGCAAGACCTACCAGTAGTGCGTTTGGTTCTGGAACACTTGGTCGTGCTAGGAACATTGGCATGGTAAACGTTTACTAGTACTCCGCAACTGGACTAAACAGTAAGCCGCGCTTATTGGTTGAGGTGGGGCATACTACCGGTAGGTCGAGCATTGCCATTGAGGTGGGGTATTGGGCGGGAGGGCTATCTAGCGGTCTTCCTGCGTCGCATGCGCAGTAGTTTCGTTTGTGTAGAAGGTTTGTGCAGGGTGCAGTGGAGCCTCTTGACTTCAGTTTGGTATCGGGGCAGCGTGCTACATCTAGCGGTGCGTTGGTGTCGTAGCCTGGACTGTGTGGATGCCATCAAATCATCGGTGTTCGCTTTCATGTACAATGTACGTTCAGCACACCCTGTCCAATTTAGACACGCAGTATTCACATGGCAAATGTGTGATGGACGCGTGCACCGCTACCGGCCTTCGGCCGACTATGGGTTTCTTTTTCGATGTGGTCCATCGTCAAGCTACATAGAAAAGAAACCCATAGTGATAATCTCGGTAATAATCCGCCTGACAAGAACACAATCACGTTCCTCGAGGGCTCGTTGGCCATTGCCAAGCAGCACCACGCCGAGTTTCTCAAGACGATGGCCAACGAGACCGTGCGCAGCATCGCCGACCTGCACGACGGCACAGCCCTCTGCTTCGCGACAGCCTCGGCAATCGCAAAGCAGAGGGCGGTGCCGTCGCGCAGGTCGACGATGCTGCGCACGGTCTCGTTGGCCATCGTCTTGGTGGTCTCTTGCTAGAATCTTGCAAATGGGAAAGTGATTGTTGCATTCTTCCGGCCGGTCGGTCCGCTACTATTCTCACTAAAGATCTCGTTTCGACTAACTAAACGACTAAAGCTTCCCGCACGCAACATAGATGACGTGGCAGTCCCCAATGTCGTCTTCCGACGAGCGACATCAGCACAGTGGTGTCGAAAGGATCCTCGTGCGTGGCGTGGCAGCGCGCGGTGTCGTCACGACATAGTCTTTCCCCGTGATCGTCACGTTATACGGTGGCCGCAACTTACCCGACAGAGATTCATGACCTCTCCGCGACGCCTTGGTCGGGGGTGTACCCGTCTGAAAAGTCGAGAGCGCCCAATGTCGTGAGAGCGCAGAATGGCGGCAACGCAGTAGATGGCGTTGAAGATGGCAAAAATACGACCGTCGAATAGGTTGGGCTGCATCGGAACCCGCGCGACGACAGGTGCCAAGTGGACCGCGTGGTCGGAGCTTTGGCCAAGGCGACGTGGGCACCCTTATGGTGTGGCTGCGGTCGATGAGTATGATGACGTCAACCGCGTACTCGGCGAGCCAAGCGAGAAGCCCATCTTGCTGCTAATCGTAGCTCAGTCCCACTTCGGGCATCCCGTAGAACCACTCGTGGTGCGCTTCAGAGTGCGCGGCGTGTTTCTCGTTGACTCGGTCGTCGTGCGGTGGACTTGGACAGCTCAGAGGACGTACTAGTACCACGGATGCCCGCGAGCGATTGGCGTGAGGACCGTGTTGAGGGCCTGGGCGTCTACGCCTTGGCAAAGGCCAGTGCCCTAACCCTAGCAGCAACGCGGCTGCTGCCGAAGCAAAGCACAAGTGCGGGAGCGAAAAGCTTCGTCGTCAAGAGCGTACACTGCATGATTCCTTGCGAGCAGTTTCTGTCGCTTCTCACGCATGCCCAACATTTGGCCGGCGCTGCTTGGCACCGAGGTCGCCACGCGGCGTTGCAGTCTGCCAACGACGCTTAAACGTGCTGGTGTGCGGCGGTGCTCCAGCGCATTGCACTAACGCGCCCGTTGGCTGACGTACGAAGCCGACAATCGATGCCGCGACGTAAAAAAGTCGCAAGCACAATATTAATATCGTATGGGATGACTGCTTTTATGGTTCGTGCAAGTAATATTTCTTGCTGCAGCAAGAAGACTCGACTCGACCCAGCACCAGCGCGCTTGGCCCTCGAGGACGCTAGGTGCGTTCGGCTGGGATAGAATTCGAGTGGTCGTAGTACACGCTTGGACAAATATTTTCGGTGGTTTACTTGACCGATGGCGAGAACGCCCAGTCCTGTTCAAACTCGATGCGGTGGCGTCGACCGTGGTCTTCAAGGCGTTGCTGATCGTCGTCCGACCAGTCGGCGTCGTACTTGAACTGGAGCGAGACCTTGGACGTGGCCCGGAGCACGGTCACGATGCGCTTGCGGCCCGCGAGCCCGAGTGCCATGTCGCGCACTTGGAGCTGGACTTCGTTCGTGTTGCGCGTTTGGCGCAACGCTGCAATGAGCTGCGTGCTGCTGGCCTTGGAGATGCGCAGGCCCACGTAGCACGTGTCGCGTCGGCGGCTCAGCCACCCCGAGAGCGCGTGCAGAATCCCACTCATTTGGGCGTCCGAGAGCGGCGTCTCGCTAATGTTGAGGCGCCCGAGCTGCTGCGACGACGCGAGCAGCAACACGATACCCTCGACGACGTCGTTGGTCACCGAAATGCTGGGCAGCACAAGCGTCTGGAGCTGTGGCATGTGGGGCAGCGCTGTCAAACTTGCATTCTCGAGCTTGATCTTGCGCAGCGTCGGAATCTGCGACAGCACACGCACGATCTGCGTCACATCGACCGACTCGACCATGGCCAAGGCGAAGCCCACGAGGCGCGAGCCTGCAATCTTGGCAGCGAATGCCTCGGCCGGGAGCTTGTCCCGACGCAGCGCGAGGCGGCGCAGCTGGGGCGGCACTGGCGGCAGCGACAGGTCCAAGAGGAACCGCGTGACGTTGGGCACGAGGAGGAGCTTGAGCATCGTCAAGGACGTCGATGACAGCAGCGCGTGGGCCACCTTCTTGGCCGCCGCAGGGGCAAAGTCGATGCCAATGATCTTGAGCTCGCGCGCGTTTGGTCGCGCGAGCCACGCCACCAAGCTGGAGGCATCGTGGAGCAGCGTGAGTCGGTCGACAGTGAGCCGAAGGCGGCGCAGCTGTGGGCACGACACGCGAAGGACGCCAAGGACGTCGTCGAGCTGTCCTTGGTCGACGGCGCAAAACTGCCAGTGGATGTAGAGCGTGCGGAGCTGGGCGCAGTGGACGAGCGATCGAGGATCGAGCCGCATCATGAACGGTACGTTGATGGCCATGAGCGTAATCGACTCGACCCAGTCGCCATAGTTGGCACGCAGGCGCGCGACGTCCTGAACGCAAGCATGAATCGTGGTCGACGGCGCAAGGCCGACGCGGCCGCGGTTCGCGCGGAGCCAGTTCTCGTCAACGCACAGCGTGCGCATCGCCGGCAGCGCCCGTGCGAGCAGCGAGCGATCCACGCCGGGCATGGCCTGCGTGTTGGGGAAGGGCCAGAGATGGTACATGTGGCCTGGCGCGAGAAGCGTTCGGAGCGCATCCAAAGCGTCGTCGATGGCGAACGCCGGCAGCGCGGTGAGGAAGGCCGCGACGTCGTCGGCGTCGTAGACGCAGTGGATGATCTGGCGCACGATCGGCGGCAGCCACACTCGCACCGCCATCGATTTTGGATATTGGTGTGACGCGTGTGGGAAATGTGGGAAAGCGGTGAAATACCAACGGTGGTGTGGTGTGGTGTGGTGGCATGCCTTTTCTGCGCCGTCTTTTTTTTAACCGAAATGAGGTTGTCACGTGAGCCACCGATGGCAACGACGATGGAGCCGACGCTCAAGATCCTCGACGCGCCATACTGCGACGTCGTCCTCGCGTCGTTTCGCATGGCGCGCTCGACTAATACGTCGTGCGGCGTGCGCCAGAAGCGCTCCAGATGTGGAAGCGCGTCGTCTCCAACACACCCCTCGATGCATTTCTGCGTACCAGCACGCTCGAGTGAACAGTACGCCCGTGGCGCGCCAGATCGCTGCGGCCGGTTCCGGCGAGCGTGTGCAGCTGGCGTGCCTCCAGACCCATCAACGTCACCGCCCATTTTAGGCTCGCTCTCTCAGCTACGTCAAGGCTCCGAGTCTCTGAGGCTCGAGATCTTGGTCATCAAGAGTGGCGTCGCGCTCCAGCTTTTCTTGGCATAACTCCAGACGACGTTTGTCATGGCATATGTACCTGCTGCGGGACATTTTGCTGCAGCTTTTGAACCTGTGCTGATGAAAAATATAGGTCTCTTGAATATGAGTTTGCTCTCCTTTGCAGAGGAGCTTGGATGCTGCGTACACTCGAAGCTCTTCGATTGGCTCCATGAGCGTAGTACCGCGCCATCGTGTACGAATCGCCCGGTATTCTTGCTTCTCGGCGGCGGTCCTTGCACGCTGCCACGTACAGTCTATGTGACCAATGCGGGTGCCACGTCATTATGCGTTGCGGAGGACCTTCCAGAAGGCATAGAAGCTTGCCCGGACGTCCATTGGCCGACTTGCCGTCTTCTGCAAAGCTTACGGGGGAACACGAAACGACCTGATTTCAGATCCAGATCGTAGCTATACAAGGACAAGCATGTATTAGAAGTATGGCTGGCATCCTCCTGGGGATATCCACTGACGTTTTTGGTTTGAACAACCAAAGACCGTTTGGACATTGTCAAACGTTGCTGTTAGACTTGGCAAGTGTTGAAAAACACTTCCGGCGTGCTTCGTACACTGGCGGTTGAAATTCGGTGCTTTGCTTGGTACGACCCGACGCCTTGTAATCAGCAAACACAATTCTCGAATGGCCTCCATTCTACAGTCTTGTGGCTCTTATAGGCTAGGTTGTGCGGAGAAGCACCACTCAACACCAAGTGTATGTTTCATTTTTTTCTCTTTTTTCTTTTTTCTCTTGGCCCGCGCCACCCGGTTGCAAAGTGCGAAGTCGACCACATTGCATGCAATCGCCGAGACTAGACACAGGGATAGAGGACGCCGTTGAGAGTGCGAGGAGAGAGGTCGCGTCGCCGTCCTGCAGCGGAAGTGAAGCGAGGCGCGATCCAAGATCGCACATGCCACAAATAAGATCGGAGTGCCATTTTTGACCACCGCCCGGGAGCCGACGCAACTCGGCCGCCAATCTCGCGTTTGAAATGAAACCGCCCATACTTGGCACATTGACAGAAGACACTTTCGGGAGCAGAGCAGACCACGCTACGCCGCCACTGCGGTCTTATTAGGACGCGAGCAATGGTCAACAACGCACAGATAGTATTGCTCTTTATATCGTAAGCGTTAAAAGCAAATTGCCATGAATATTGTGATCACCACCTTGCCACGTTCGTTCCCAGTTCATGCTGCAAGCGCGGAGACTCGAGTTTGAGACTGGTTAATACCTAATGGGAAAAAGTGCCAATGCTTTGCGCGGCTTTGCCTCATCCAGTAGGCCTTTAGTTTAATCGTGTTAGGACTACGAGCACGGCAAAGGCGAAACGCAGCAGTACTTGTAGAAGAGAATGACAGCAACCTCCGCGCCGCAAAGGCGCTGCATGGCGTCGGTCGCACGGCAGGGTGGTCGCAAGCGGACGTCCTCTCGACTGTGAACGGTGAAACTAAGCTCGTGCGGCCAAGAGGTCCTTGGATGGAAACCGCTGGCAGCTATGGGTTGATAGGGGCCGTAGCGGCAGAAAAGGCCATTGCGTTTACGTTGGGCGTCTACGCGCTGCGAGGTATATATTCAGTCTACCGACAGAGGCAACTCGGCGGACGTGATAACGGCTTACCTCCAGAAACGAATTTGCGATGTGCAACGGTCGAATCTAAGAGCGCACGGCTTGCCACGATTGGGATCGCTGGGGCAGAACGTTATTTCAATTGACGACGACATGAGCACGGATCCCAACTCGTCGGACGACGAGGAGCACCGCCACACCAAGCTCATTGCGTTGAGGTAGTTTCATTGTCCGCTGCCAAAAGCTCGCTCACCAGGCTGCTCGTAGCGCCTCCATTCGCGGTGGTCTCAACCGCGGCAGCTCCTCGCAAGCACTGTATGCGCTCTCACGGCACAACTTGAGGTTGATCGAAGCTCGTAGACTCGGCGACAAGGATTGGGACATGAAGAAGCACGAAGGCCCGTTCGTTCGCGAGGACGAAGGAGACGAAGGAGACAACAACGTACGTGCGCGTTAGCTTGTTTCGGTGCTCAGTTGTCTGGATGACATAGCTCGCGTCTACGCTCGCCGTATTCGAGACGAACCAGCCCGACAACTCTACGACCTTGCTCGGCGCGCTCAGTGGAAGCTTTGGAAAGCGTTTGAGCCCTCCCGGTCGGAATGAGCTCGAACGTTGGCTCGGGCGCTTTGGCCCCGTCTGGGCCGAGGTGTCCACTGCGACGAGCATCGTGATGGCAACTGCCACCGTGCTTCTCCTTCCTCTCGGTTTGCCCGTCCCAAGTCCCAAGACGTAAGATGGATGCACCGTGATCGCGCCAGTGTTTGAGCGGTATCCTTGTAGCGAGCCCTGTGTGGAGCGAGTTGACGACGGCAAGATTCGACTCTACTGGCCCGTTCCGGTGCGCACGTTTCGTGAAATACCCTCGACTCCCTAGTCGTTTTGTCTAGGACATCGAGGCGACCGACCTCTTGAAAGAACGCTTGGGGAGCGCCGTGCGCGTCGGCAAGTCACCCGCGGCCAACCCGCTCCCCAATCGCTTCCCTCTTCGCCTGTTTGTGAGCCTTTCAGGAAAAGCACAGGAGTTCATCGACGCAGGTCCGCTTGCTCTCGTGGAGCTACCCGTGCCGACCCAGAAGCCGAACACGTTTTCGTTGGAGCTCATCCATGGCCAGCAACTACCACAGGTCATCACCGACGCCATGGTCCAGTAGGACTCCGAGACGTAGCGTTTTGAATGCATGCAGTGTTGCGGCATGCAGTCTCAATGATCGAAGAGAAACACTTGGCCCTGTCGCACCGGTCGACGTGACGCAGGTCATACGAGTAAATTCTGTCGCCGAGTCCGGCGCTGCGCAAGATCAAGCTCGAGACCGCGCGTATGATGGCGCTGCCACATGCCACGATTATAAACACTCGTTTTGCTCAACGTTATCGTGCCCAACGACAAGGGCAACGGCAGTGCAGTTTTGTTATATCTTGATAAGTTGATACCACGTCGTACTCGGTGGTGGGAGAATAAATAGTGTCTTGTCTGGGCAGATCGTTGTTCACGCCTGCTCGACGTTGGCCGTGAGCGCATGCGATTCGACAATGCTCATCATCAGCTGGACCTTCTACACATAAGACGGTGCCATCCGAACGTCAATCATGGGTCGTCGCACCTGCGAGAGTCGATCGCGAAACACCTCGCGCGACTTGGCCGCAATGTCGCCAAAGACGTGGACGACCCAGCGGCCTTCGATCGACACGCAGAGCCGGTCTTCTTCCCTAGCAATAGCACCTGATTGTATGTAGTAGTATGTATACAAGACCATACCGTGTGGGCGGCGGCTGCTTGCGCAGCAGCGTCGGGGCTGCGGCCGTCGCTGCAAACATCGCGTTCCGGTGCGGGTGCAGCGCCGCGCGCTCGTCCGCTTTGCGCAGCCGACGGTCGACGTCTTGAAGGAAGCGGCGGACCGCTGCCACGTGCAGCGTCGGCGGCAGTCGGATGCGGAGCCGGAGCGGCCAGCGCGGCTCGTCGGCCTCGGGCGTGTTTTCTGCAAACACCACCAGCGGCGTCGTGAGCGCCTTCCCGGCCGGCACATACGTCTTGGAGTACGCATCGCAGGTCGTAATGACGTACCCAAGGGGCACATCCAAGAGCATGCCGGGCGGCGTCGACGCCATGGACACGTGGAGGCGCTGGCGCAGCGCGTGGTTGAACAAAATGAACTGCGAGCCCGTCACGTTGCGGACGACGGGGACCGTGGCGAGCGCGACGAGCGAGCAAAAGCCCGTAAAGAAGGCGCGGATGATGTTTTCGGCAATGCCAGGAAAGACGAGGATGTAGATAAAGTAAAACAAGATCACGAGCACGAGGATCTTGAGCACCTACATCGGCACAGTTTATGAGAGAGGCGTCCCATCACCATGGTTCATCGCACCGTCACGCCTTCGTGGAGGAGCGTCTTGGCCGAGCCCTTGCGCACCGTGATGAGGCGGTAGACGTTGCCGACCGCGTTGACCCATAGCAGCAATGGCACGCCAAAGACCCAGAGCGGCCATTTGGCACAGGAGCGACGTGAGCCCGACGACCTGGAGCGCCCAGCAAAAGAGGCCCACGCGCAGCAGCCAGTGCGTCTCCCACAGCAGCATCTCGTGCGCTTCGTCCGGCTTCCTACAGGCATGCGTGAGCGCGCGTGGCATATGCAGGCGGTTACAGGTAGACGTCGCCGGTCACGTAGCGCAGGAGGAAGAGCCCGAACTTGGCCATGGGCAGCGCGATGACGAGCGAAAAGAAGAGAAGGACGACGCCGAGGTAGAGCTGGTAGTCCTGGGACCCGGAGCTCCACCAGCGGCTAATCGTCCGGCCCTTGAGGATGCAGACCTCCGACATGGATAGGACAGTTGCGCATCCCTGGCGTATTTAATACGCCTATTTTATTTGAAATACAACACTCAAGTATACAAGTGTGAAATAATTTAAAAATACAACGCGAAATCTCGACGCCGTTCCTTCTGATTGGCCAAAAAAGAATCCTGTAGCGCGATCCTGGATTGTTGTCAAGTCCCAGCCTGGAAGCACCAGGTTTTCATCCTAGGCATGTGTATGGATTGCATGTACGAGCTGTCGCCGAGGCAGGTTTTCGCAAGCGCAACGTCCATGCAGACTGCGATGGCTCGCCAAGACCACCGATGGCCGCTGCAGCCATTCAGGTCGTCGGTACTCGGGGATACTAGTATGGCGTTCTGCACGCGATACTGGATTCTGAAGAACTAGGTTCCTGCGGTGCAAGTGCAGTTGAGCGACGCGTGCCGCCTTGACGTCAATCGTCCATGGACTTGGCAGCGGTAGGTCGGCGCGAAAGACGCGTTCGATCCGGACGCGCCAGACGTTGAACCAGACGCAGGCGCGGAGCACGGGCCAGAGGTAGCGGAACGCGGCTTGGTGCATGTTGGACGCCGTCGAGTAGAGGTAGCCGGAGAGCGTTGTCGGCAAGGTCACGCCCAAAGGGACCGTGACGGCGTGAAGCGTGCTCCACACGTCCTTGATGAAGTCGCAGTCGACGAGGAAGTGGCGGTACGTCTCGTGCGCGGGGCAGAAGAGGCACGCTTGGTCGGCCCTGTCGAGCCAGTGCAACTTGGCCAATCTCGTCGGCGTGGCGCACGAGCACGTGAAACTACGTCTCGCGTCGTCGACGGCCGACGCGTCCGTGAGGTGAGTGCGCCGTCATCGTGCCCCGCACCTGCGCATCCAGTCGTCGACGATTGAGCGAGTTCGTCGTACCTGGATTAACATGCGTGGACACGTGATCGGGTCGGCGCAAATGACCATCGCGCACAGCGGAAATTCGACGCCATCGCACGACACCGACGTCGACACGATGACGCGCGTGTCGCCCGACTTAAAGGATGACAGGAGGCGCGTCATACTCGGCACGTCCTCGTCCTCGTCGTCACTCAGGTCCATGATAATGTCGTCCAGCGTTTTCGGCGCGCCGACCTCGTCCGTCAGACTGGCCGCCTCGTCCGACGCCGCAAGGGCGTCATCGTCCGCCATCGCGTCGCGAAGAGTCGGTCACGGAGAATGTCGACAATCTTCTGGAGCTTGGGCGTGCAGCCAAACGACACTTCCGAGCACTTGGAGCGGCAGAGGAGCAGCGCAAGGACCGCCTGGGGGTCGAGGCTCGCCATGTTGCCCGCCACCGTGCACTGGAGCGACCCCTTGCCCAATCTCGAGGTACCGGTAGAGGCACCACGGCCCGAGGTTCTCGTACACGCTCACGCAGTCCATGACGAGCTTGGCCAGGCGCGCTTCTCGGGTGGCGTCACCGCGCCATCGACGGCCTCAATGAGCGACGTGACGTGGTTCCTCTCGACCATCAAGTCGGCGCGCGGCGGGTACGCCTGTTGCAGCATGGGCGCACACGCCGCGTAGAAGCCCATGGCGTTGGCGTCCATCGTAATCTTTTTCAAGGTTGCTCGCGCAGTCGCGTGTCGGGCAGGCCGTCGTGCCAAAGAAGCGCGGCTGCATTCGTCTTGCAGTCCTTCATGATCTGGTTGTACGGGTGGCGCTTGCCCGCGTGGTGGCACTCGTTGCCGTCAAGGCGGGTGCCAAACCACTGGTGCACCAAAAGACCAACGACCGCGGGAGAATATGCTATGTCGGTTGTTGCTGGCACTCCTTGTTGGCAGCCGGCCGCTCTGCTGGAATGTCGTCGGGATCCCGCCGCACGACACCACGTCCAAGACGCAGCAGGATCGACAAGACAGCAATGCGCTCGTCGCCATAGACACAGACCCATGGTACGTTGTCGGTGCAGGTCGAGACCATTGGGAGGATCGCGCGAACGCCTTGGTAGCTGATGTTCCACAAGGTGGCTTTCAGCGTGAGCGCGACGTAGAGGTCACAAAGCCGGAGGCAGCGACGCGCCACCGAGCCAGATGCAGTTTACACCCTCGTGGCTCCACCACCCGCGGCCCGCGGAGCTGTGCAATGAGCCGCTCGCTGGCACCCATGAAGACGCGATCGCTGGCGCCCACGCGATCGAGTCGGGCTTGGCGCACCTGGCCACGCTTTGCGGGCAACACGTTGCGAGCGCGTCCTTTTTCTCGAAACTGGCCCGGCATGCATTCGGGACATTCTGGGGCATACAAACTACCAGCACGAGAGAGAACGACGGGTCAACAACACCTGGTACCGTCCCTTTAATGTCAACGCTTGGCGCGTGCCGTCAACACAGTTGTCAGAGTTGCTGAACCAGATCTGGACACTCGAGTGTACCGTGATAGTACGCGGTGCTCCCACCCAGTGGCTCCCACCTACGCTTTCCCATCGTACTCAACTGCGAGCAATGCACTGAAGCTCCGTAGACCTCTTCGTCGCCTTCCACATCCACGTGGCTACCGGCGCACGCACGTGCATCGCTTCTTAGCACGATGAAAAAGTGGGGCTCTCTCCGGGGCCCGAACCCGGATCTACCTGGTGGTAAACCAGTGTCTAAACCACTAGCCTAAATATGTCGACGAGAATCCAGTTCGTGGACGTCGCCACAGCGTCCGTGCTCGGCGTGTCTTCGCTGCGCGAGCGCTCTGACAGCAAGGGCATTGGCCATCGCGACTTCTGAAATGCATTGCATAAAACGCATCGCCGATGAAACTTGTTGCTACCGGTACCAGTGGCTATGAAATGGGTCTGTCGCTAGCAAAAAAGAAAGGCGTGTACACGGCAGCCTCTTGACGGAATCTCTCAACGCGCGTCCCGAGCGGCGCGCTGATCGGCGCACGCTGGAGGAATCTCGCACAGCAGATTGCGACACATCGTCGTCGATACCGGTTTCGTGAAGCACACAAGTCGTACTTCTTGCGCTGATCCAGTGGCGTGTGATAGACGTTGGCAGCTGCCAAGTCAATGTTTTACTGTACGAGAGCCACACAGCGGCGGTGCATGGGACTACCAACAGCTTAACAGATGAGAAGGTCTCGCTTGACAGCAATAATGGCTCGAACGACGAGTCCTCCTGCCTTGCAAGCGCCTTGCGTTGATTGTGAACGTCCAGAAAGCGTTTGAACCTGTATCAAATCGGTACCGTCGCTGGAGTGCATTGGCGTCCTTGATTAAAGGCTATCTCTATTCGATGGCGGCGGCTATGACGAGCAGGCGCAGTTCTCGTCGTCATGAAAGCGGGCGGCCAGCGGCGGCTCGAGCGGTTGGATGTGCACGGGCGGCTCGAGCGGCGAAATGAGAACGGAGATGGCCGTCCCAATCTTCTCGTCGTTGACGCAGACGCTAAAGTAAGCGTCCACGAGCTGCATGACAAAGTACTCTTCGATCACGATGGGCGTGAAGCGCAGATCCAAATGCTCGCGGAAGAGCGTCGTCGTGTTGGCGCGGAGCACCTACGCGCGACTCTGTCAAAAATCTATCACGAAGGTATCAATCTATCGACCTGGATAAAGTCCGCGTTGGACGTGGCGGTCTTGGCGCCACATGTCGAGACAAAGCACTCTTTGAGCGACATGTCGATCGCATCGCCGAGCACGGAGACGAGCGTGTCGACAACGTGACTGACTATGTAGTCTTCAATCGGGCGCGGGATCGAGACCGGCAGCGGCAGCTGCATCAAGTTTTGACATTGCTCGCGGATCAAGTTGACGTTTTCAATGCCCATGGCGCCACTACCGACAGAAACACACGATGAGCAAACTGCACGCCACGACGATCCACGATGCACCGAATAAAGATGCCAACCAGCGGCAGCGGCGGGACCTCCTTGTCGAGAATTTCGTCGAGCTTGGACTCGCCCATGGCGTCCGAGACAACCGCGACAACGCCGTGAATGACGAGGTTCTGGTCTTCGTCGCTGAGGTATGGCAGCTGCATGACCGACTGGAGAAACGAAACCATGCGGCCACGGAGCACCTCGCGCTCTTCTTCGGGCAGCGGCTTGGACGTCAAGATGCCTAGCGTTCAATGAGCCAACATCGAAAGCACGTTGCACATAGCATACGGGACCAGTAGGACTTGGGCAAAAACTCCTGCATGGACGAGATGATGCGCTCGACTGCGTGCTCAAATATCTCTTGCTCTTCGTCCTCGTCCATGTACGGCAAGTCCACAATACCATTGATGAGCGTTGCGAGCTTCTTGATCTACAGCCTTTATGAGCGCCAGACACCACACGCCGTGGGGGTACCAGCTTGGACGGCAGCGGCGCGGCTTCTTGTTGCGCCACGCTGCTCGGTGCAACGACGGCGAGGGTTGCGAGCCCTGCTGCCGCCAGCGTCGAGAGCATCGGCGCCGCAGACGGCTTTGGCGCATGGAAGGCGTGGGTCAAGAGCGCTGGGCGCCGACGTGTGGCGGCCAAGAGCCGGCGGGCGACGTGCTTGTGCATCGCAGCTCGTGGAGTGATGTCGCAGCATCATTTGGCGTCCAATTTGCCGCTCTTCCTTGCAAGCAGGGAGTTGCCCGACGTGCTTCATACTATTTGAGGTTTTTGGCTTGCCAGCACGAGGAACCCCAGCTTGGGCGGCGGACAGTGACGAAAATCAATGTTAAGACGATTGCACGGTGCGTAGTTTGTTGATGCAACAATATGTGAAGAGCTTTGCACGCTTGAAAAAGGCAGGTGCGTACCATTGCGGACTGACGTTCTATTGAAGTACTAGTACACTATAAGAGATACACACCTTAGTTCAATATAGTGTGCAAAAAGAGGCCATCTTGATACAAACGTTTTGTGCCTAGTATCAAATCGAATACTATTTCCGTGACGTGCGTCAGGGTAGACGTGGGTATGCAATCCGAATATCTGGGTATGAAGGGAGTTTCCCTATCGCCGGCGACCAACATGGTTGACATTTTTGGCGCTTGCCGCTATTTTGCAAGCGTCATGGCCGATGCGTTCTTCCGTGCTATCGCCGTACCAGCCTACGTCGATTCGACAAGTGAGATAGTCTATAGAGACTACAGGACTATATACTCTGTATCAGCCAGAAGACGATACAGCGACTGTATACGCGTCATCGCAGGCGCGTCCACAAATTGCAGTGCTCGCTCGTTGAAACGGTGACGGGTTGGGCGTTGGGCTGCGTGGACGTGGCACCTTGAGCACTCTACGAATTGCACCATGATGTCCGGGCGATGCAACCGACGGCTGCTCCTGCAAGCCCACCGACACCCCGCGTGCCGGCTGCACACGCCTGCGCTCCTCCAACAGGCCCGACGTTTCACGGGCGCTCACACGTCGTCAGCACTTGTGACAGGCCTCGCTCTCTTGGCGTGTGTAGCATCAAGAGCCCCTCTGCCCACCGAGTGCGAAGCCAGCCACAAAAAGCCGCCGCTGCCCCGCCACCTCGTACGCCATCGCCTGATCTCTCGTTACGTCATGATGCACATGTGGCACTAGGTCGTCGACCTTGCGGCCATGATCAATGGCATCATCGACTTGCCGCAAATGGACGAGCACGAGGAGCAAGAGGTCTTTGAAGATGCTGTCGACAAGATCGTTGCCGCGCTGCAGGACTTTCTCCCAGCGTCGTACTGGACCCGTCCGCACCCTACCACCACATGCAATAGACTCATATTAAAACTGTGACATTGTCTAGGCATTCTCACCGACAAGTCAATTCCTGCCATCGAGCGCGACATGCTTCGGCTGCGCCTCGTCACCTACCTCCAAGACGCGCTGCACTTGGCGTACTTGAGCGTCGAAGACCAACACCTCGTCGTGCACGCCGTCGTTGCGATCGTCGCCGACGCCATGGGGCCGACGACGCTGGCGACGATCGTAGCACAGCCGACGCCGCCGTTGCACTTGGTGGGCATCTTTATTCGGTAGGCTTTCATGCCCGTGCGAGAAATTCGATTTCAAGTGATCGAACTGTTGCGTAGTGGCGCCATGGGCATTGAGAACGTCGCGCACATTCGCGATGCGTTCCAGCACGTCCTCGACTACTCGCTGCCGATTGCGCTTCCCAAGCCGATCGAATATTACATTGTCGACGTGCCCACGGACGCCCTTGTTGGTGTGTTGAACCATGCGATCGAAGCGGCCTTGGTCGACTGTTTTGGCTCCTCGCCGCGCTACGTGGTCGCACGTGCCTCCGACTTCCACGAGGTAAACACATTCGTCCGTTTCTAGTCGAGTCGGCCTGGTGTAGTCGTGATGGTGTTTTGCTGTTGGCGTAGGTGCTGCATGCCAAGATTGTGACGCTCTTGGAGGCGAAAACGCAGCTGCACGTGTGCCCATTGGCACTGCGCCGACGCCTCATCCATGCGCTTGTCGACACGTACTTTAAGCTCTGCGTTAAACCCGCCAAGATCGACGCCGCGATTGCTCCGTTCCTCGTATCGACAAGCTGCGCGCGCCCGATGCGGTCCAGCGTGACTCTAGCGTCCGAGCCGTCGCTGCTGCCTCCAGACGTGCGGCAGCAGCTCTCTGCAGTCGGCGTGGCGACGGCGCCATCGCGCATCAAAGCCCGAGCAGGGACAAGCATCCACGACATGTTATTGCTCGAGAAATGACCATCTTGGTAAAGTCAATGGAACCCAGCAAACGGCAATCGCTAGTATCGCGATGACAATTCATGGGATAGTACTCGTTGTATGAGGACTGCCAGGCTCGTCGAGCTCTCTTCAAAAGAGGATTGACGAATTGTGACGCGGTCCAGCGCCTGGGCTTCTCAACGCAAGCAGCCGCGTTGCCAGTCCGTGTCGTCAGTTGCTGCAATTGGGTGTAGTAGCACTTGCAGCCAGCGCTTCCTCCATGGCGGGAATCTCCCGCGACGGATTGCGCACATCCGAGTGACTAGCGAACAAGGGCATGGATAGCGTCGATGGATCGGACCAAGCTCGCCGACTTGAACGCGACACCACCACCACATAAGGGTACGGGCCAACGCGATGCTTGCACTGATGGGTGTGCTCAAACGTGCAAGCGGTCGTGCGTCGAGTGGGTCGTTTCTGGCGCCAGCGCCACTCTTCCTGGCTCCCAGTCGCCACAACGAGAATCGCCGAGAAGCATGCCGAGCCTCTTTCGCCGCAAGCTCCACGAGACGACGCCCAAGCCGATTCACACGCCGCGCCGCGGCTTTAAAACGTGGATCGCCAAGGTTTTCCAAAGCAGCAAAGCGCCGGCGACGACCAAGCAGTGTACTTGCCGGCGACGGCTCGCGCCCCTTAAAGCCAAGGCCCGCGTCTACGCGACGCCAGTGACCGTCGCTATCCCGATCAAGTACATGCAAGCGCCAAAGAAGACGCACCTTGTGAGTGGTCGCTTGGTGCCCTTCACGCCGCTGCAAGTGTCCAACTGGAAGGACCTGCGGCGCACGTTTGGGACCTTTGTGCCAATCGAGGAGGAGCGTCGCGCTTGTGACTACTGCCAGTGCAAAAGCAACGTCACGCGCGACTCGCTCGATGACGAAGACGACGACGACGAGTACTAGACGCTCCGACGCGAGAATGAGATCTTGTTGAACGTACTATTTACTGCATCGGCAGATTCGGCAAATCGTCCGGGCTCTATCGTGTACTGTAGCTCACGCGGGAAGTGCCAAAGACTTGACTTAGTTCGCTTTGATGCGACAAAGCCTTGTTTAGACTCACAACACAAGCTACGTGTACCTAAATGCGACTGTAGGTCGACGGAAGGAAAGTTTATGGGGAAAGCTTGCCCATATGTGCGAGAAACTTTGGCGCGGCTAAATCTACTACACTAGTCGGTTCGTAGAGTAGAAGCGGGTTAATTTCTTCATCTTGGCACATGTGCATTTTTGTCTGCGTAACCCGTGGAATGGCAGATCGACTAACCGACTGAAAATTTGATGCCCATCACGCTTGTCATGATGCGTGGGCCAATCAGCGCGCGAATTCAAAAGAGCCGGCTGCGATATGCACCAATCACACATCCTCATGGTAACCATCGCGCGTTCGCCGAAGCTTCCAATTGGTGCACACAAAGAATGTTGGTACGTCGGCGGCCATGCGACAGTCAGCGGGACAGCGGGACGTCTCCTACGGTCGTTCGGCGCAGCTGCCGGATGCTGGCACCACCAGAAAGTTGCAGTATCAAATTTGCCATGCCTTGCCTCCTTCCCACGCGATCGTCCGACACCTGCAGCGCCAAGCGCCCGCGCGGCCTCAAGCGATGGTTTCAAACGGTCTTCAAGCCGTCCAGCAGCAAGTGCGCCTGTCGAAAGCCCATCAAACCAACGCGATCCAAGATCAAGGTGTCCAAACCAAAGCCTTGCTACAACCCGGTCTTTGTCGCGATTCCTCTCAAGTACGCCTCGGAGCACAAGCGGTCGCTTGTTGTTGCCGGTCGCCGCGTGCCCTTCACACCGTCCCAAGTCTCCCAATGGAAGGCGCTGCGCAAGGAATCCAGCGTCCTCTTCCCGCCCATCGAAGAAGAGACCTATCTTTGCGACCACTGCTTGTGCAAAAGCAGTGCCACGACTCACGAAGACGACGACGACGACAACGACGAGTACTAAGTTTCTAGATTCAACACACTTTCTTATTTATGCAAGATTCTTGCCACCTCGATCTGTCTCGCACATGCATCCTTGATGCCACGGATCATGTTGAAGTTGGTTGGCCGTAATCCATAAGCGTTTCTTGATCTATCATCGAATGGTCGACGCTATCCGAAGCGCACGGACTCGGTGGACTACTGCTAAAGCGCTGCTCTGCGCTGCTCTAGAATATCTTCGAACAACTCAAACTCAAGTATCTTTTTGGTGCGAGACAACCACCACGGGTAGCAATCATGGAATGCTATCCCTTCCGACCTTGAACTATTGCTGACGGGTGATGGATGCCGACCCGTGACGTGTGCCTGGTGTTTATGCCGTGGCGTACCGCAGGTGCCATCGACTGGCTCTGTGCACACGACACGGTTCGCGATCGACTAACCGGTGGCGAGAGTGCATGTCTTTCCACATACAATGAACGTCTGGCCAATCACGATGCCGTTTTTGGCCCTACCCCTGGGTGGAAGCTCGGAGCGACCATGGCGCTTTCAGCGAACCTTCGGATTGGCCCATCGCACGTGGACAGAGTGTAGGTCTTGGTTAGTCAAGCCAATATGTGACAAGGCGCCACGCGAGCACTGGTGTCGCCGTCAGTATTGCATTTGCCCCCTCGACCACTCACTCACGAGCAATGTTTAAAGTGTTTCGCCGCTCGACGACCGAGCCGACTACAAAGGCAGCGCGCAGCAACAGCGTCAAGGGCTGGTTCCAGCACGTGATCCAGACCACCAAGCACAACAGCAAATGCACGTGCACCAAGCACAAGAAGAAGACGTCTACCAAGCCACGCAAGGTCAAGCCCTGCGTCGTTGCGCCGCTCGTCAAGATCCCGCGCAAGTACGATGGCGACGAGCAGCGCCGCAGCATGTGTGTGGGCGGCGTCCGTGTCCCGTTCTTGCCCGCCCAAGTGAACGCGTGGAAGCAGATCCGCCGGGATTCTGGTGATTTCGCGCCCATCGAAGAGGAGGCGCACCGATGCGACTACTGTCTCTGCAAGAGCGACGTCACGGACGACTCGTTTGACGACGACGACGACGAGTACTAAGCTGATCGCGTCCTATTTATGAAATGCATCCTGCTATTTATGCTTGCTATTTAAACTCGCTTCACAACACGGCAATCGCATAACGTTAATGGGCCAACAACATGGCTTCTAGCACGACGGAGTTGGCGCCAGCACGTGGTCGTTGCACGTTAGCTGCATACGACAAGAAGCGACCTATCGGGCGCGAAACACGGCTTGGTTGAGCTGATGAAAGTCGAAGGGAAGAGAGCTTGACAACAACGCCCAATGGACAAGTTTCGTGGCTCCTATCATGGTTCTTGTCTCGAGCAGTGTACTGAAACCCTGGGATCGCCAACGCGGTGATGGTTTTCGGCAGCGTTTCCGCGATTATGCATGCAAAGTCTTTTCTAAAGCTCGCTGTCTCTGCAGCAGAGGGCGTGGGAGTATATGACTGTTGAAGTCGTGGGTGGTACCCACCGCTTTCTCAGTTTCGTCTTCGACGGCTCGGTCGTCTCGCAGTACGTACTCGTAAAAGGCAACTGCGTGCGAGATGCGCAACGAGGAAGACTGCATATACTGTGCTTTGTATCGACCACGGCAACCATGATCGCTTGCCACTTGTTTTGATCGTCGCGCGTTTCCAAACAAGTAGCTTGCACACACTCAGCACCAATGTTGGTCGTCGGCGCAACCGCTGCTCGAAGCTCGCATTCCATTTTCATTTTCCGATCGGTAGAGACAACATGTTTCGCCGCCGCACGTCCGATGCCAAAGACGTCGCCTCTATGAAGGACGTCGCCTTGGCCACGGACAGCACCGAGGTCAAGGGCTTTAAGCGCTGGTTCAAGACGCTCCGAGTTGCACCAATGACCAAGGGCCGGTGCACCTGCGCAGGATCCGCGCCAGGTCCGCCGCGGCGACGCCGCCGGACGACACACCAGCTGGTCGAGCCATTGGCACTTCCGCGGAAGTACGCGGCCGGGGCTCAGAAGAGCCAACTCGTGAGCGGGCGCCGCGTGCCCTTTCTGCCCGACCAAGTCAACAACTGGAAGGCGATTCGCAAGGCGTTCCGAGACTACACGCCGATCGAAGAAGACCGACCGCTCTGTGACTTTTGCTTGAGCAAGAGTGGAACCACCGAGTGGTCTGTCGAAGACGACGAGTACTGAGAGTGTTGGGGCATATATTTATATACCGCGCGTATGGCTGGGCGGCTATGGGTCGTAGTAGCGTGATGCAATAAGTTCTTCCTCCTGTTGCTCTCCTACTCGTGCCAGTACAGGAACGATTCGAAGGCGTGCTCCGCGGAGACGCAGGACGGCGTCGTTGGTGCACGCAGTCCGTTCGTCGCTGCGTGGACAGCCCCGCCCACGCGGGTCAAGCGCGCAGACAACTGGCTTTGGTTTCGGCCCAGAAGAGCATCCGAGTCTTTGCGCAAGGTCCAATGACTGCGCGCCCTTTTGGAGTCGCACTTGCAGCAACAAGCACTGACAAGCTTGGATTGGCTAGCACTGCGAGCCAATGACGACGGAAAGAGTGTGTTGGCTCAAGCAGGATACATGTCAGCGGCAGAATACTTTGCAGCTCCCAAGGCGCAGCAGAGCGTGTCCCGCATGCGAACAGGGCGGCGATGCTGGAAACCACAGCGCTCCAGAACCCTTTGTCGTCGTTTCTGCGAGGCCGCGCGGCTCAGCGCATTGCGGCGAAGTCTCAGGCGCCATGTACTATTCAAAAAGATGGGTGTTCATTGCTGACGAGGTATTCCACTCGAGCGTGTGCGTGAACACGCAGACGATCGCCACGCGCGCCACCATGAGTGGGGTGGGGTGTATCTCAGACGCTCTGGGATCTGAGCACCATTGAAACGCATTGCGTAGCTTCCTCTGTGCATTGTGGTGACGCCGCAACAGCAGTCACGAGGTTACACTTGACTACACCTTGGCTTGCGAGTCGTCCGCGAAACCAGGTCGGGTTCGATCCTAGAAAGGCGCGGCCGCGTCGTGGGTGCGTGTTTGGATGCGGCGTTCCTACCTTGGCGTATGTCTAAACACACACCATTTTGTGCCATACCATTGCTGCCATTGGACGAATGTAACACGGTACAGTTGCGTGCTCCTAGCTTTCTCAAACAACAACAAGAAAAGCGCACCTATTTCAATTTCCGCACCATTACGTGGCCAATTACACGGCGACCACGTGGTCTTTGGCAACCAAATGACCAGAGCCTCTGCCGGCGCCGTAGCGTTCCGGCGCGCCAGACCCCGTTAGCACCGAGTTCGGTAGCGCTGGCTTGTGTGCTCTGCCGACATCTTCATTTCCCAACTTGCTAGCATGCGCGTCGCCACTTTCCTCGCATCGGCCATTGCGTGCTCGACTGTCGCTGCCCGCTCGATGGCCGACGACCTGGTCCAGCAGCTTTTCGAGCTGCACAACCAAGAGCGCCAGAAGAACGGCGTCGCGCCTTTCGAGTGCCTCGACTCGCAGCTCAGCCAGCTCAGCTTGGACCACGTCAAGTACGAAGTCTCGATCGACAACATCAACCACGACGGCTTCAGCGGTCGCTGCAAGAAGGTCGGCAACGTCGCTTGCGGCGAAAACACCTTGTACGACTTCAAGGGCGACGCAGCCAAGTTCACGCAGAGCTGGATGAACTCGCCGGGCCACCGCAAGAACATCTTGAACGGCGCCTACAAGCACGTGGGCTTTGCGGTGGAGAAGGGCCCGAGCGGCAAGTGGTTTGCGACGTCCATGTTTACCGACACGAACCCGCGCACGGACGTGTGCGGCGCCAAGCCCGGTCCCGTGGCGCCCACCGATGCGCCGTACACGCCCAAGCCGACGGCGCGCCCATTGCCGACGGCCAAGCCCACGGCACGCCCGCTGCCGACGGGGCCGCCGATCTCGACGACGACCAAGCCGACGAAGCGCCCGACGCCCAAGACGCCGACGCCGATTCCGTACACGAAGCGCCCCACAAAGCGCCCGACCACCGCCCCGACGTATGAGCCTTCGGACGAGCCGTCGGACGACCCGAGCTACGACCCGACCGACGCGCCGTCCAGTGACGTGGTCAAGCAGCTCTTCAAGTTCCACAACGAAGAGCGCCAGAAGAACGGCCTCAAGCCCTTCTCGTGCCTCAACTCGAAGCTGAGCTCGCTCTCGATGGACCACGTCAACTATGAGATCTCGATCGGCGACATCAACCACGACGGCTTTAGCGAGCGCTGCCAGGATGCCGGCAACTATGGCGGCTGCGGCGAAAACACGCTGTACGACTACCAAGGCGACGCGCGCGTCATGACGACAAGCTGGATGAACTCGGCCGGCCATCGCGCCAACATCCTCAACCGCGACTACAACCACGTGGGCTTTGCGGTCAAGAAGGGCGGCGACAACCGGTACTATGCGACCGCCATGTTTACGCAGGACAGCCGAGCGTGCCAATAGACACATATCTCTTGTTTAATGTATCGCGTATTTTGCTATAACCCTTCGATCTGTGGGCAGAAAATCGACTTTGCCCTTGGAGCAATCTTCGAATAGTGCAACCTCAAGTGCAAACTGCAACTTGGTCCAGTGGGTCAATCAATACCTCATTGAGCGACTTCCGTTGGGTCGTTTGCCCTTGTAGAAGGCTCAAGTTGTGTCATCCAGCGGTTGCTACAATGCCAATGCGAGGCGAAAAGAGCCGTGGCAATTCGAACGGGGTTCGCACCTTGCGTACTCGCTCCATGCATTACCCTTAAGATAGAGTGGCCCCTGTTTACACACTACTTCCTGCATGAGCGTCATTGCCAGAGAGAGCTGGAGTCCCATCCGCATTCGAATGCGCCGTCTGAGTCCCACGGCACGTTCGATTGGTCGACGCATAGCCGACGCCGCGTATTTACACGACGATGTTGGCTGCTCTACGCCCAGCGGGACGCGCGGAAAGCTCGCCACGTTCGCTGCACTGCGCCCGTCTCGCCGCTGGAGAGGGTGCATGATCGATCCCATTTTAAAATTGACCAACGCGTTCGCAGCATGCGGATCATTGTCGCTCTCTCGGCGCTCGCCGCTGCGTCCGTCAGCGCACGTTCGATGGCCGACGATCTTGTCCAGCAGCTTTTTGACTTGCACAACCAAGAGCGCCAGAAGAACGGCGTCGCCCCGTACGCGTGCCTTGACTCGCAGCTCAGTGAGCTCAGCATGGACCACGTCAAGTACGAGGTCTCGATCGACAACATCAACCACGACGGCTTTAGCGAGCGCTGCAACAAGGTGGGGCAGGTAGCCTGCGGCGAAAACACCCTGTACGACTTCAAGGGCGACGCGGCCAAATTCACGACGAGCTGGATGAACTCGGCGGGCCACCGCAAGAACATCTTGAACGGCGCGTTCAAGCACGCGGGCTTTGCGGTGCAGCAGTCGCCCAAGTCCGGCAAGTGGTTTGCGACGGCCATGTTTACCGACTCGAACCCCAACCCCAACGCGTGCGGCGGTCCCAAGCCGACGCCCAAGCCCACGAAGAAGCCCACGAAGAAGCCCACAGTGGTCCCGACGACCGACCCGACGACCGCACCGCCGCTGCCCAAGCCGACCAAGAAGCCAACAACCAAGCCGACACTGCCACCCACGGAGGCTCCGACCGACGACCCCGACGACGGAGGCTCCGATACTGACGAGCCCACGACCGCGCCACCGCTACCCAAGCCGACCAAAAAGCCGACCAAGAAGCCAACGCTACCGCCCACGGATGCTCCGACCGACGCCCCGGACGACGGTGATGAGCCCACGACGGCGCCGCCGCTCCCCAAGCCGACCAAGAAGCCGACCAAGAAGCCGACGGCCAAGCCCACGACCAAGCCTGACGACAAGCTATCGCAGCTCTTTGACTACCACAACGCCGAGCGCAAAAAAGTGGGTCTCCCACCCTTCGAGTGCTTGGACACGAAGCTGAGCGCCCTTGCCCTGGAGCATGTCAAGTACGAGATCAAGCTCGGCGACATCAACCACGACGGCTGGCTCGAGCGCTGCGCGGCCGCGGGCGCCGACCTCGCCAAGGGTGGCAAGTGCAGCGAAAACACTTTGTGGGACTACGACGGCATCCCCAAGTCGATGACCGAGGCGTGGATGAGCAGCTCGGGGCACCGCGCCAACATTGTGAGCCGCGACTTCAACCACGTTGGCTTTGGCGTCGAGCAAGGTCCGGACAAGCGCTGGTTCGCGACGGCCTTGTTTACCAAGGACACGCGCGGGTGCCCCTAATTCCGTTGCGGAACCAAACGTCACTTGAAAAATATATATGTATTACGTGCTTCGCATTCGCATCGAGCTACAAAGACAAGCTGCATTCTTTAGACGATATTGTGCATTTCCATCACCAACCCTAAGCCTCGTCGTTAACGATACTTCAACCAAAAAAGCCATCGCATTTGACAAGGCTTTTCGAATGCCAACCGCGCCTGTAGCGTTCGGCACAAGGACCAATAGCCGTGATATGGTGGGTACAACGCCTCCGATTCTCTCGCAACGCAGATGAGATATGCGATGTACCCACGACCGGTCACAACGCTGCAACTTGGACCCATAACCAGGAGCCAACCACCAACACAAAGCGTACACAAAGAATCGTGTGCTTTTCTGCATCGAATCAAGGAGATACATTGATGCCCTTGATCGAATCAATGCACAAAGAGTCTTCTCATCCTGTTACCGCGCGTGTCGTGCTGGCCAACGCTGCAAAATGGAGGTCGTGCGCCAGTCGATGTGTACGCATCGAACCTGCTTACCACCGAACTCATGCTGCGGCGGCATGAAGGTGCAGCTCAAGCGCCTGTCAAAAGCGCCAAGAAACGATCGTCGGATCCGCTTGCTGCAATAGAACATGCTCCTACTGCGTTGGTCACGCTTCGATTGGGACGTTGTGCCGGAAGCAAGACATCTGCCTAATGATACCTCGAGAGTAATGCTTCTGGGCCACCAAGAGGACTCCATGCGATGGGATGGAAGCAGCTGTTGCGTGCACCACACAATTTATTGTCGAAGCGCGTACTCGAGAGGGCAGGCAGCGCCCACGAGAAGCACGACGTGAGCGAAAGCATCTTGAATTTGACATCGAAGCATAGCACGAGCTTGGAAAGGATCGCTATATTTCGCTGCAGAGAGGAATCTCGGCCGTCCTCAACGTGGAGACCCAGCCCACCAC